GGCCCAAATGGATAATGTTTTATTATTCACGGGAATCTATACTGCTTCAAACACACTGGAAAATATCTTAAATAAAGTTATGGACAAGAGGTCGAGGTAAATCCGTAATACGATTCTATAATTAAACTTGTATGTGGCGGGTGCAAACTGAGTCTCAAACAGCAGTTCAACGGTGGATGTTGAGCTAAACTAAGCAGCAGCAGCCATGCAGATGGGTGAGTCTAACACGGCTCAGCAGAGTGGGTGAAGTATATGATTACTTTATCTTATCAAGGATATGATTAGTCCGAAAACAACAAACGAGTTTCTCCATTTTTATTTTCTTGGTATCTGAGTTTGTTGTTTAAATATGTAAATAATAATAATAATAATAGGCTCATATATATTGTAATAAAACACAATATGTATAATAACTAATTCATTCAATTATTTCACTCAATTAATTCAAATTTAAATATTATAATCTATATAAGCCCAATTAGGTTCGCACACTGTTAATACTGTATTTTAATATGGTTGTAGGGGGTTGAGTTTTAGCTCGTGGGTCCCGCCACTCAACCTTGAATCCAAGTTCAAGTTCAAGTATGTTTATTGAGACAAAAAAAAAATACATCTCAAAGGGATAGAGTAGCTTAGGCTATTTCTACCCCCCTCTACTTCAAGTCCCTCAAGGGGCGCACAAATTCACTGAATACAAATCCCCAAATCACAACACAAGAATCCCCTTTAACATTGCAGGTTAATATAGTAAGCACAGCATATAAGTGTTACACTCTTGGGGGAAAATTCTTGTAGCTTCAAAGTATTCTATCATACCATTATCACACATCCAAACAATTTGATGTGGTACACTACTTATTTCCCTATTTCTATAGTTATCAATAAGTTGACACTTTAATGCATAATGTTCTAAGGTGTGGGCGTGCGGCATACTACATGCCCTAATCAAGACTTCACATCCTTTTTTTTCAGGGATATTCCTGCGCGGGCCCTAAGCCTCTGGCTGGCCCACTAAGTGTTGCTTGTTTCTGTTTTACTTGGGCAGAGTATAAGTATTTATTACTCGTATGGTCGCTTCAGTAAGATTTTGCCATATGTGTTTAACAACTTCTGCTCTGTTGAATCTAAGTTGAAATCTTAATGGGCTTGTATTTGTGCACTGTGTTAGATAATGTTCCAGTGGTCTGTCGGGTATTTCTCCACAGTGCTGACATTTCCTCTCATTTTCCGGAACCTTTAAGCTTATTTCCCATGCACATGGGTATCCAAGCCTGATGCGATGTAAGTGTACTTCTGTTGTTCTACTGCTCCCTTTCATCAAACTAAGTGGTTCGTAGTTGGTTGAATTCTTCACATCCTACCTTTCCATCCCTAGCTACTGACCCATCACAATATCCTGCCCGAAACGCTTTGCGTAATAGTGGCTTTAGGCATTGTATGTACTAGCTCTATCTATAAATCCATCAATCTTTGTATCTTACCTTGTATGTATGTACCTTACCTGAATACAAAAATTAATTTAATTTAATTTAATTTAATTTAAATTAATATAATTTAATATACATTTAAAGTGTTTTCTGTAGATAATTTTATAATTATACAATCATATGTTGCCCTCAGCTCTCCTATTTCATACATACTTTTTTTTGTTTTGCAAGGGAATAATTACTACATCTACGTTGCAGTCCTCCCATAGTGGTGTGAATTGTCTCCTAGACAGAGCAATACATTCTGGAATAACATCATTCTTTGTAATATTAGAACATAAGGTACTCATATATGCTCGCTTCTTATACTTTATCATACATTGTTCGATTGATTGATAAAGATTAAGCCACACACAAGAGGTGGCAGGGGAATGAATAGCCCGTAAGTACATTGTTCATTACTTCCCACCTTTTGAACTGAGGGTTAATGCATTAGCTCCCCCCACCTCTCATGAATCTAATGACAGAGGCTACATTTATCTCTGAAATTCTATCATCAATACTCTTCAGATTCCATCTCTTAGATGCTATCCTAGGCATTAGTATATTAAACAGGGTGGGACTCAACACTCCACCCTGAGGTGTGCCGAGTTCAAAAGATCTTACACCTGACGTACAACCTGATACCACACCCGAACCTTCCTTTCGTGAAGATAATCCCTTATCCAGCCCAATAATCTTCCTTTAACACCAAGACCAACTAGTTCATATAAGATAATTGCTTAATTTAATTGTTGGCTTTATCAAAAGCTCCTTGTAAATCAATAAAAATGCTATAGTAATCATTCCAATGGTCACCCAGGCCATGGCGAGGCTATCTACATAGCCTCTTTGTGGGTAATAAATAATAATAATGATAATTATTATGGCATAATAAATTAACTAAACTAACAAGTGAGAGCTGCATAAAAATGCCAACCAAATCCCTAGGAATAGTAAAAAAAAAACACTTTGAAGAGGTATAGAGTTTTGATATAAAAACAATGGGTATAAACTGGATAAGTTTAGATTTCGGAAATACCTGGGTAAATACTGGTTCGGTAACAGGGTTGTTAGTTTGTGGAACCAGTTGCCACATGGCGTGATGGAGGTAGGGTCCCTTGATTGTTTCAAGCGTGGGTTGGACATGTATATGAGTGGGATTGGGTGGTTATAAATAAGAGCTGCTTCGTATGGGCCAATAGGTCTTCTGCAGTTACCGTTATTCTTATATTTTTATGTTCTTAAGACTACGTGTATGGTTCGTTACCAGGAGTTATCTGGTGACGGGAGCCCAACTTGATCTTAAGACTACGTGTATGATTCGTTACCAGGAGTTATCTGGTGACGGGAGCCCAACTTGATACTGACAAATAATACGTCACACTGATATATATGTTTTATACTATTCATATAAACAGGTTCCAGATCTAAATCTATCATAATTTGTTATACTGTAGTGTTTTGCAGCCATTGAAAGTTTTATGATTTGTCAACCTCCTGTCAGACCTATAATGGCTTGGTGCACTCTGTGGTATTGGCAAAGACAATGTTATACAGATCCACAGAGAAATCCCATTAACGTGTTATATAAAAAAAACAAAGCGTCTAGGAACACTGAGTGTATAGGTTCGAACCATTATCAAGGCTCCTGTGGATTTGTTATATAGATGGAAATAGACACCTTGGTGCTTGTCCTTCACGTGTTATATAACCTGCTTGTACTATATGGCTGCCGTGTCTTGTTCTTCACGTGTTATATAACCTGCTTGTACTATATGGCCGCCGTGTCTTGTTCTTCACGTGTTATATAACCTGCTTGTACTATATGGCCGCCGTGTCTTGTCCTTCACGTGTTATATAACCTGCTTGTACTATATGGCCGCCGTGTCTTGTCCTTCACGTGTTATATAACCTGCTTGTACTATATGGCCGCCGTGTCTTGTCCTTCACGTGTTATATAACCTCCTTGTACTATATGGCCGCCGTGTCCACACGCTCAGTGTGTGTGTGTGCACTGCGTCTCTACCTCTCCTTATATAAACTTAAGCATTAACACTTTCGTTTATACAATAGGTTATTACAAAGGAAAATTATAGTCACCTTCATAATCTTAATACAAAAATGAGCCTAAGATTACAATGTAGGTGCTTTTGTTCTCTCTGAACCACATTATATAATCTATTTATCTTAAATTGAAGGAGTTATAACTTTACATTTTAAAATATATAGTTCTAATATTTTGCAATAAAATATTCAATCTTAGCTACTAATTTGTATTTTCTAATATAACTTGTTTTGCTGTCTGTCCGGTAAATGAACGTCCGTAATATCTATATATTCATAGTGAGTATACAACATTTTACGCTCCTGGCGTAATGACTTGGAAGATATCAGGCATTTATTATATTTCTCTTGAGCGCTATACAAGCGTGAGAGAAATAGCAACTATATCCTTTGCGGAAGTGTGGATCAAATAGGAGAAATAAGCAGCAGCCACAAGCGCGCCTGATAGCAAGTGCGTCTATATAATAATAATAATAATAATAATAATAATAATAATAATACTGTCAGGAATGATGGAATGATGGATGGACGAGGTCTGATGGATGGTGGAATGATGGATGGACGAGGTCTGATGGATGGTGGAATGATGGATGGACGAGGTCTGATGGATGGTGGAATGATGGATGGACGAGGTCTGATGGATGGTGGAATGATGGATGGACGAGGTCTGATGGATGGTGGAATGATGGATGGACGAGGTCTGATGGATGGTGGAATGATGGATGGACGAGGTCTGATGGATGGTGGAATGATGGATGGACGAGGTCTTTATAAAATAATCTTCCCTGTCTTTACTTTCTCAACAGACGCGGTCTGGTCGAATTTGTTCTGATACACAACCTTCCCAACATGAACCTGAGCCCTGGCTTTGTTGCTGTTGACTCTTCCCTTTCTCAGTATATACTCAAATGTTCTAAACTTGGGCTATTCTTGCCCGTGCCACCTTTTGGGTGGCTTAATCTTCATCAATCAAAGACCATTTGGTCCCAAGCGTCACGCAGGGTGCAGTCGCACCTCCACAAATCTCCAGTATCAGCTCTTGATACTGGTAATGGCTCAAAAGGGCCACCACTTACGGGCTATTCATGCCCGTGCCACATTTTGGGTGGCTTAATCTTCATCAATCAAATCAATCAATCTTCGTCTCATCACAACCGACTTGATAATGGTCTAGGACGGACCAAAAGATCGTAGCCTCTTCAATTTATAGTGTGTAGTTTAGTGAACATTTTCAGCCACGTTATTGTGACTCTTCATCCGCAAGTGCGTCAATTCCTCTCTGTTTAAATTTCCCGCCGTGTGCTATATTGTGACGTCATATCCGCCCCTTGGAACCTCCTCGCAAGAAATTTACTTAAATCGATTTTATTAAAACCTAAAATTAATACAGAGATACGTATATGAAAAAATAGGTCAAACTACAGAAAACTGCATCTCAAGAAAGTGTATTTAAGGAGAAAAAAGTTTTGAGCAAGAGGAGGAAGGTGCGGGGCCGCGACGCGGCCGGCCACACGAGCGACGAGGGAGGCAGCAGGCGGACATTCATCTCTTCAGCTCTCGTATTACCGTTAACAATTTTTTCCCGCGACCACCAGTCCTCCGAGCGATCCAAAATGGTAAAGGAGGTGAGTGTTTGACGTCCTGCATGGTGTTCCAGGGACGCCAAGCTGCAAGAGACAGTTTATGTTGTGTGGGGAATGTGTAGGTAATGGCGGGGAGGGAGGCGGCGGCCGGTGGTGGTGATGGCCGCCGCTGCTGCTGCTGCTCCCTGGGGCTGGTGGCCGCCACCACCACCCTGGCGGCCACTGGTATAGTTCCCTCTACCATGGTGGTGGGGGAGACTTTAGTGTACATGTTGTAGGGTTGTGGGGTTTTATAATATGGTTGTGGCGGCCATGATGGCGGCGGCGGCGCCTGGCCCAGGACGCCGCCCCCCGACACCGGGCCCCGGCGTCCGGTGTCCGGCCTCGCAGTATTCAGGGTCTGGACTTTTGTCCAGACTTGTAAACCAGTAAATTTAAATTCTGGACTGGTAAAGCAGTAGAGTAGTGTGGTTCACTAGTGGAGGCGTGTGGTGGCGTGGGCGCCACGTCACCCGCGGCCGGGGGGGGGGGGGGGGGAGTCCATGTTCTCGGTGCAGTGTTCAGGTCTCGGCCCCCCCCCCCCCCAAGGCTAAAATAATGACTAGTATTAATAGTTATAATGCTAGTTTTGTTTAATTTAGCTGTTATAGTGATTTAACTTTTTTCCCCCCCAAGTCCAACTGCGACACGCGACATATTGGCTTGGTGGTGGTGGTGGGCGGCCATCTTGTGGCGCCGACCCCCCGCCATTGTGGCCGCGTCCTAACATGGCCACGACCACTGGTGGTGGCTGGGTAGAACAAGTTAGAACATTAGAACTAGTCTTAATTTGTTAGATTGACGGTGCTTTACAAGTCCTGACACGACTTTGTATCCCTTTACATAATAATGGGAGACCTAAAAAAAATTCTCGGTGGCCGCGTGTGGCATGGGTTATTTATACATTTTATGTATTTACTATTTGTATCTGCAGGATAGCTATTGGACCCCGCCTTTCTAACATCTGTTTTTCCTCTTTGCTACATATTTCTTGCCCCAGGAAGTGGCTCTTAACTTCCTGGTAACTATTTACTGCTAGGTGAATAGGGTACCAGGGTAAAAGAAAATGTTCATTTGTTTCTGGATCAAATAGGTATTAAGGACTAACCTGAGAGCGTTGTCCACTTTGCTGCCAGGCCCTGAATGAGTTTGCATAAATACTTTAAGTTTGGCAAGTCAAGCCTTTGTGGTATTTGACACGATTACTACAAACTGTCCTCTTAAAGCTATCTAGCCCTACTGATAAGTTTGGGGAATTCTTTTAGTCATGGTATACTGTACCCATGGCTATTACTTTGTAAAGGTACAATTTTTCAATATTTCGTTGGCTTGGATTTTAATTGGTTTAAACTGCTTTAATTCAGGAGCTTTAAGCTGTTTAAGCTTTAATTCAATTTGTGTGGGTGTTTTAAGCTAAGAATTTACAGTATGTAAAAAAAATAGGGCCTACCTGACCTTGGCATGTTTACTAAATTTGTATATGTACAGTTCTTAAGATTTAATCCATATCAAAGACTGCAGTGGGTATTAACCTTAATGTAACTTAAATTATCAAAAGGCTATGTAGCACCACTTGATGGAACTTGTATAACCAAGTTTTAAAAATTAGAAGCGTTTTAAACCAGTGTGGTTTGACTAACCCTTTCACAAGCTTTTACCCAAGAGTGGCTGTTAAAGTAAAAATTTAGTAAAGTTTGTCCTAGATTTGACCCATGTTACACCATTGAAGTAATGTGGAAGCATTTTCTAAGTTAAATAGTATTTTAATATTGATATGCAAATTTAAATAAGGCTGTGGTAATAGTCCAGAACACAACATTAGACACATGGGGGGGGGGGAGGGAAGGAGGGAATTATCAGGGAAAAGTGTGGGGGGGGGGGAATTAAGGTCTTGTGATAAAATTCATACATGTATGACTATGCTGCCATGTTGATTGCCAAGAAAATGGTAAGGTTGTAAAGTGCTAAAATATGGTAGTTGAATTCCTGCATGCAAATTTACTTTTATGTAAATATTACTAATTTCAATTTCATATTTATGTAAATTATGTAAAATGATAGTTGAAGATATTGTAACTTTCATTTTATAAATTTTAAGTAAATGGTATATAAATACTGTGTAAAGAGTAACAAAGGACAGGCTTAAACTAAATATGGGTTTAATGCATTAGAAAACAACTTGGTGCAGTACTTTTAATATATTGTATAATATATAACTTAATAATATAAGTACCTGCCTTGTATTAATAAGGCGGGTACTATATAGTTAGGGGGTGGTAACTATAGTTTCTCAAATTTGCTCAAATGCTTTCACTTTTTTGTGCATAATCTACTAGGCAAATGCTTGGCTTTGTTTAAATGATCACCAATGCATCTTGAAAACAAAAGTTGAATAATGAAAATTTTTGATTATCAAATCTGCTTCAAAAATATAAAATATCACAATTCATTTGTATTCATATGCTTTCAGAATGGCTTCAAAAATATAAAATATCACAATTCAATTGGTATTCATATGCTTTCAGAATGGCTTCAAAAATATAAAATATCACCAATTCATTTGGTATTGCTATGCTTTCAGAATAGCATCTTCATTTTAATTTTTAGAATATAGGTTGTTAGTAAACTGTAACAATTGTCGATGCGGCATTTGAAATGTGCCAAATTTAGACAAATTAAAACATCAAATGTTTAGTGTTTATGAAAAATCCCTATCTATAGGATTGTAGAACACAGCTGTGCACTGTGTAAAAATGGCGAGAATCTGCCAGAAACTCGATTTTTGAAGATTGTTGAAATTCTAGTTAGATATAATTTATACAAAATCAAACTAGGCAATAAGATTTAATATTTAGTAGCTAGAATCTAAGTCTGAGGTGCACTTTGGCAGTGTTCAGTTCTGGTTTTTCCACAGAATGGAATGCTAGGATATAGCTTTCTTGCAAATGCAGAGAAGTGTGCATTTGGTATGTTGTTGAACTTTTCATTAACTGGAATCGAAGATTTGGCTGTTGTACATTACAATGAATAGGTTGCAAATTGGATGTGGTTGAATGGACTGAGCTCTAGCATTGTATTAACAGGTTAATGAATAGATTGAATGGGTGCAGCATTTCTTTAAGTAGGGCTGTGGTTTACTTTAAGGGGGCATCAGGCCAAATAAGCCTGATTTTTTTGACTAGTTGTATATGTAAAGGATGTCATCTGGTCCTAGTCTCGGCATCGTAGCATAAATAGGGACGTTATCTTGATTTCGGGGCTTTAGTGTCCCTGCGGCCTTGTCCTTGACCAGGCTTCCACCCCCAGGAAGCAGCCTGTGATAGCTAACACCCAGGTACCTATTTTACTGCTAGGTAACAGGGGCATGGGTGAAAGAAACTGCCCATTGTTTCTCGTCGGCGCCTGGGATCAAACCCAGGACCACAGGATCACAAGATCACAAGTTCAGTGTGCTGTCCGCTTGGCCAACCAGCTCCCATTTTATTGGGAGATTTTAACATTCTAAAAATTTTCAAATCAAAATTAAAACGCAAGTTTCTTGACTCTTTTACATTAGCATATAATAAAAGGATCCGTTTTGTGGATTTTTTAAAATGTTTAGTGTTACTAAGTCAGTTCCATAAATATTATGCAAATATATCGGGTTTATCGCAACTAAATTTTTTTTATAAAACTTATGCTATTGTGATAGCAGTCAGACATGATTTCAATTGTTAGTTTTTGACCATTTTGGAAGTTTAAATCAATATTTTTTTTCCCTTCCTATTTATGCTATGATGCCGAGACTGGGCCAGATTAAACCATTTTCATATACAACTGTTCAAAAAAGTGATTAAAATTGAACGAATTTCATTTATTGCATATTTTGCTCTGATGCTCCCTTAATGATATGGGTTTAGCTTGCAATCACCCAAAGCATTTCCATAAAGTTTTAAGCAGGCTTTGGCTTGATTAAATGATTGACTAATGTTCCTAGACTTTTCAGCATTTAACTGGGTTCACTAGACCTTCAAAATTGCCAGTTGGATCTGGCAGATGCTCATTGTATAGGGTTTTGTTACAAAGAACAATGTGCTGGGTACATATAATAAGTACTAGCCACTGATTTGAACCAGAATTTTCCTAGTAATTAGTTTGTATTGCAGTGGTTGTAGATTTAAGAAGCCACCCAGTAGGCGGTGTGGTGGCATAAATAGTCCGTAAGTGGTACATTTTTTAAGAATGTATACTGTGCTGAAGTCCAGTTAAATAATCATGGGGGGAGGATGTTGTTTGAAAGTATGTGAGGGTGTCCAGCTGCTGGACAATTTTTACTGTGGTAGTGTTGATATCTTGCAGTAGCCACCCTGAAGATTCAGGGACTCTTTGAACACTTATAAGTCGTTGGTTGCTTGAAGTTCCAGAAGATATTGGCTTTTCTGTGATTGGCAGAAGATGCATTCCCTGTCTGGGTTCACCAATTTCAGTTGCATCTGTAACCTAGTCTATATAATGGAACTTTTATTAACCTTTGCAATGTTTTAACTTTTAACTTTGGTCAAAGATACCATATTGCAGTGGCAAACCTGCTAATGTTGTAGATGGGTTTTGAAGATATTTTTGTTTATGTACTGTAGGCTGGATTGGATTTTGTGGATAACTGGAGTTGCAGATTTCAGTTTTATCGGCGTATTTTGTGATTCCAACATGGGGTGGGATCCAGGATATGGCAGTCCATTTGCCTGTTAACAACTGTTCCAAGATACAAAAATTGATAATTTCATGTTGACCAAACCACACTAGAAAGTAAAGGGACGACGTCGTTTCGGGCCATCCTGTCCCACTTTCAAGTTGATAGTGACTTCAGAATTGTCTTGCCACTGTCTTTTTCCTAACATGACAAACTGCTCAGTTTGTTGTATGACAAACATGCTCGTTTGGGTTGATACTGATCCTCCCAGTCTCAAATGTCTGTAATATCAGTGGACACATGACCAACACAAGTGTCCACAGATGTCAATTGTGGGTGGCTCCTGCTACTGTAGTGCTGCTCATTTGCATTTCTATGAATCACCTTAAGATTGAATCATAAGCAGCCTTTTTCATAGGAAGACACATTACTCTTTTTGAAGGTAGGCTCCTCCTATGGTGAGGGGGGGGAACTCAAGTGTAGTTTGGGTGTGGATGGTCACCTCATCCATCCATGATTACCTTGTAGGTAATTTTCATGGCAATATTTTAATAATTAGCAGCCATTTGTACCCTTGTACATTATTATAAAATTCTGGTTTAATTTTCTTCCCACTACACCCATAACTATGAATTAACCTGTTTATGGTTGTTGGTCATTTTGTTGGTAGTATTACAATCTTTCTAAATTGGCTGTAGTAAAGATTCATACAATTTTCGGGAAGCACAATAGCAGCAGGAGCGGAAAAAAAAGTTTAAAATTGATACTCGCCTGATAGTTTACCATGTTTTGTCAGTAATATTTCTACAGTAGGATAAAATGTCTTAATTTTAAGGTCCACAATTTTCTGGCTGGTATTGTAATTACAAAAGTAGCAAAGTGTGTGTAGTGTTTAAATTTTAAATTCTAAGTGTTAACTAAGCCTATGTGTAAAGTAAAGCAATATTTTTTCAACAGGAACATTCGGAGCCGGAGCAGATGCGAAAACTGTTCATTGGGGGCCTAGACTACCGCACTACCGATGACAGCCTTAAGGCGTACTTTGAGCAATATGGCGAGATTGTTGATGTAGTAGTAATGAAGGACCCAAAGACGAAGAGATCAAGAGGCTTTGGCTTCGTTGCATTTTCCCAAGCTTATATGGTGGATGAAGCACAGAAAAACAGACCTCATAAAGTAAGTGGCATTCTGGAGTGGGTGGGTAGGAGGTTGAAATGTAAAATTATATTGTATGTCTACATTATATATTTCAATATTGCTGAAAGTCTTAATTTTATCAATTACTAATCATAATTTCTCTACTTTAGATTGATGGTCGGTCAGTGGATACAAAACGTGCAGTACCTCGTGATGAAATTGGGAAACCTGAATCTGGTGTAACTGTGAAAAAATTGTTTGTTGGTGGTATTAAAGATGACGTAGATGAAGATGTAAGTTTATATTTTTAGTAAATACTGTAGTTAAACGTTTGTTGCCAGATAATCTTTGTGCACAGTAAGCATATTGGTAGGCAGTATACAATTTAAAGTACTATTGTGCTGCACTAAAAGTTTTTAAATAGTAATTTTTATATTCGCAGGATCTGCGTGAAACATTCAGCCAGTTTGGAGAAGTGGTATCGGTCAGTATCCCCACAGAAAAGGAGTCCCAGAAGAAGAGGGGCTTCGCTTTTGTGGAGTTTGAAGACTATGATGCCGTGGACAAAGCTTGCTGTGAGTATTTGCAATATCTATCAGCATGTTTAATAAGCCTATTCAGATTAGTGCTTGTAAAAGTCAGTTTTCCAAATTTGGTAATTCAGCCCAGCATATAAACTTGTGGGGCTGGATGCTGGTAGTGCTGGTCTTGCTTCATGCATTCAATCCGACTAAAATGGTTCTTGCCTTCCCCTTCCTGATTTGATTAGAATTGGTGAAGACTAATATTTGATTTTAAAACCTAATGAAAGTAGGCATATATTCCAAATCTAATGGCAGTATTATTTAAGTATTAAATTAGTATTTCTTCTGGTCAGGTTAGGCAATTCATTGTATTAAATTTTTGTTCCTAAATCTGATGTGCAAACAAATTGGAGAAGGTAGGTAGCTGAAACTTGTGATAATCTTTAGCCTGAATATCATAGATGCTGAAATCTCCCACTAGATGGTGAAATGAAGTATAGTTTAACATTAAACTTTTACTCAAAAGCACAAGTCCATAAACTATTTTTTCAGTATCATAACCTGAAGTTTTCTTAATCTATTTTCTAACCTATAATTGACCTTCAGCTAATTTTCATATTGGAGCATTGCATCTAGAATTTAATCACAAATCTAGTCACTTTTAATGAATTTGGCATAGATTTGATTTGGATTATAATTGCCCCACCTGGAGAATTGTCAAATAGCTTTGAAAGTGTAGCTTAATTTTAAACTGCAAAAACAGAATATGGTTCAAATCTCGACCCATAGGTGTAAGTATGACATTTAAATCTAACTTAAACCTGTTAAATAAGATCATTTCTACTACTATAAGTATCAACCATTTTACTTTTGAAACTGTAAAAGTTTTTAAATGTTCTTTAAATTTTGACTGGGTAATCAACCTGATTATGCACTTTGACCTTTTTAGGTCACCTGCTTCCTTACTAAAGCGAGACTTCAATATTTAGCAAGTTGCATTCAGCGCATTAAGAAAATTTCAACATTAATAGTGCTAAATAATAAATTTTAGTAAATTTTGTGCTAGCTCATTGGTTGGATTTGTCCTTGCATTAGGATTTGTCCTAATGTTTATTCCTAGGTGTTGTAAGCATTTTGAATTTGTAATAACACTTAAATATACCATTTATATCCAATTGATTTGCCACTAATACTTGACTAGTCTATGCATATTTAATAAAAGCAAAATTTGTGCTAAATGATTTCTATTAAGAGCCTAGTTTTTTGACCTGGCTTTTAAGATTTCCCCATACCATAGACATTTATGGAAGCTGGTAATTTAATGTATGAACCATTAACTTTGATTTCAAATGATAGTGTACTTAAGTTTAGGGAAATTTTAACATCTAGATAATGTTCCTAAATATTCTTTGGTCTCATAGTAGAGACCTAGCAATTTGATGTAATTGGGTTAAAAATGTGACTGAGCATATAAGATTTTTATTATAAAAACCTATTATATTTACAGTACACAAGAACATCCAGATGAAGGGAAAGCGCGTAGATGTAAAGAAGGCACTGAGCAAGAATGAAATACAGATGCAACAGCGAGGCCGCATGGGAGGAATGGGAGGTATGGGACGTGGTGGTGGGAATGGCCCATGGGCTGGTAACAGAAATGACAGCTGGGGGAACAATCAAGGTGGTGGTTGGCAAGGTAAGTTTTGGACATATTGAATAATATAGGATTAAGTTATTATTAATGCTCCATATTAAATGTTCGTACATACATACGCGTAAATAGCTACGGATGTTTCAGATAACCGAAGCGGCTGGGGAAATCAAGGCAATTATGGCACGCCTAACCAGGGAGGACCAGGCGGCTACAATCAGGGTGGTGGGTATGGCAACCAGGGACCATGGCAGGGGGGTCCACCCAACAACCAGGGATGGAATAACCAAAACAACCAGGGATGGAACCCTCAGGCCAGTAATTATGGTAGTACGCCAAACAACTGGGGTCAGGGCCCCAGTGACTTTGGCAACAATTATGGGCAAAGTTATGGTGGTGGACCAATGAGGAATCAGGGATATGGACAGACGAACAGAACGGCCCCATACAGTGCAGGTAAGCCTTTATCAAATTTATTTAAAGATTGAAGAATTTGGGGCATGGCTGCTAAAGTTTCTACATACTAAAATACTTGATATTTTCATGATAAAGGCTTTGGGATACTTTTACTTTATTGATGCATTTTATATTTAAAGATTGACGGTTCCTTTTCCCAATCTTGCAAATGTGTGTAATGTTAGGTAGTTAAGATTCAAAAAACTCCTCAACCCACTAACAGGTGGCAACAATAATGCAGGTAACAGTGGACCTAACAACTATGGTGGTGGTGGGAGTGGAGGTGCGGTTGGGATGAATCAAGGACCCAACAGACGATATTAGACTTCGGGTAAGAATGTGTAAACTTTTAGTTTGACTATTTATAATGGCAATTGTATTGTGGGCTTGCCTTGAATAAGTGAAATAATGTTATTTCATATTGGAATTTTTAGTGCAATTATATATTAATACTAACCTTGCAGTTAATGTATGACTAATTTATGATTTTCCACCACACACTAGGTACATAGCAGGTTAGCCATGCAGGCAGGCAGACAGGCAGGGCTTGAGTCAGGGCCCCAGACAGTCAGGATATGCTAGGACTGAGGCAGGCAAGCTGAGCTAGGGTCATAGGGAGGCAGCCAGGCTCCTCGACACCCAAGAGCCAGTGCAAGAGAAACATTCCATTCGTCGCATGGACTAGCCACTTGCCTCCTGTTCTAGGAGAAACATGAACATTTTTTGAAAAAAAATATTTTGTGCTTGCATTTTATATATTTAGGATAATGTGTAGTGTAAATGAATTGAATATTGAATTGAACCAAAGCATAGTCAGTTCTTTGTAATAATGTGTGTGCAGCAATGTATTTTCATTTTACAAATAAATTAATCCTAAGAATGGTGTATTCTGACATCCTGTGAGACATATCTGTGAGGTGGAGATGCAATCTAGGCAGTGAGATCATAGGAACTGTCTAGGTGTTTACCATCAGGTAGGTCACATGTTCGGTTTTGTGGTGTAGGCAGTAATGTATTAATAGGGTTTGGGTACACTTGAGTCAATTTTTGAGTGGTTAGCACATTGTGTAGTGGTGCTAGGTCACGCTTAGTGTGAGTGCACTCTTCAGCTTTTTGTACTTCAATGCTACTATCTTGTTATATTACAAAACTAAGTTAAAAAAAACTAGTCTAATTGTTTCATTCCACTACTTTTGGTACTAATGAAGACGTTATCTCCTCAGGTCTGCAGTCACCTCAAGAGAACCAAAGATGATGGGTACAGTGCTTGTCACTGAACCCTAAACCAACTGTGATAAATTTAAATTATTTTTTTACTTAAATTATATTTTAACTGCAACAACGTTTGACGTTTTCTTCAGATACCTCGCTTTTAAAACAATTGGATCAGTTTTTGTAATGTACAGTAATGTTGCAAACTGGGGTTTTAAGTTTACATGCCATCTATATTCAACTTTTTTTTTTTTAAACGAGTATTCAAAACGAAAGTTTATCCTTTCAAGGAGGTAACAGACCAAAAGTGCACCAGACAAGGGTAAATGGTTAATACTAATTATGGTAACTAGATTGCAATTTACTATTGATACAAATAATCGACTCAGGTGGTCCTTGACGGACCGAAACGTCGTCCCTTCAATTTCTAATGTGGGGTCTGGTAAAGATAAAAGTAACTGCAGTGAACCAACATAGATGGCAAGTCTGAATGTAACTAGCGCCTTAGGATAGTATATTACATCTTAATGACCTGTCGATAGAGTCCTTGGTGAATCTGATGCCTTTGATATAGTTTGCTTTTGGCAAACTGATACTTGGCCCCTTTTGAATATATCTCTTGGTGCTACATAGCCTTCCAGGCTTGGTGCCTTTTCATACTTTCAATAATGGTGGTATATTCTTTTTCTAATTTACCGGTGCCTTTTCACCATTCAATCCTTCACATGCTGTGCTGCCTCTTAAACTTTTGAACATTCATTTTTTTCCAGTACCTCACGGTCACTTGTTTCTCTAGAATTCTAGAATCTGATATCTTTGGCCTTGTACTGTCCTGACTTCCAGGAGGAGCCTCTCTTGCTTTCCGACAGTCCCTCGATAGAATTGTGATAATACTTTTGACATTGTTCGGCTTATGCGTTTGTTCTCGTATTGGCATCCTTGGTGATATTTAGCGCCCTCTGATTATTTTGCGCATTTGATGGTGCTACATAGCCTTCCTGGTTTGGTGCCTTTTGATAATTACTTACTTAGCGCCCTCTGATTATTCCGCGCATTTGGTGGTGCTACATTGCCTTCCCGGTTTGGTGTCTTTTGATAATTACTTGAGCATTACTTTTCCCGTATTGGCTTCGTTAGTAATATTTAGCGCCCTATGATTCTGCACATGGTGGTGCTACATAGCCTTCCCGGCTTGGTGCCTTCAGATACTTTATCAATAACTCTTGTTTAATATTGCTACAGATAAATGTACATTGTCCCTTAGTTTTAGGTACAAAACGATGCCTGTCCAGTGTCCCACAATACAATGCTACATAATTAACCAGCTTGGCCACTTTTTGATAGTATTAATTTGTTCGTCTTATGTTGCGGTAATGCATTTTCCCTTCAGTATAAACTTCCAAATAGTAATCTGGAGGGGATGGGGGTTATTTGCATCTTTGGTTATATAACCTTCCCGGTTTGGTGCCGCCTTTTCGATAATTACTTGTATCCTTGTCTTGAATATCTTGCAATTTTGTGCTATTCTGCCTTAGGCATGGCGTCGCCTTTGATAATTACTTGGGTTTTCCAAATAGCCATTTGATGCATAGACCACCCGCGATCGATATTGCCCTGAATGCATTACGCGGTCGCGCCTTGGCATTTGGTACCAAATGTGCAGTCTTACTGTCCTTACCGTATCGCTAGTCATGATTACGGATAGGTTGAAATCTGATTGCTTTGGCTCTAAATCGTTTCCCGATATAATTTTAGGTCATCTTTCGAGAACATTACATTTTAACTGGTGTGGGTACTTCCTCAGGTACCACGAAAAGTACTGGTACTTACTATTCTAGTCTCCTCCTTCGGGTATTTTGGTTGTCTTGAGCCACTAATAGCTTGAAGTTTCTCCATAGCTAAAACGTGTGCCTTGCTTTGACAACTTTTAATCCAGTGCTCTAAACCGCAGGCTAGGCTAGAGACCTGGCAGCACTTCATCCCCCAGTGTTACCTCCCCTTCCCCCACTTCGCAAGATTCGGAATTTAGCAGCAATATTTACTAATTTGTAGGCTACATAAATTGGATGGGAAACACTTTTGCGCGCTCACGGCGTTCAAAAAAAATCATACCCTATGCCCTTTCGGCGGTTCGCGCGCCTACACGATAAGACAGAAAAAGTGTACACTCTTTTGACTGTCATGACAATAATTGAAGGCGCACGTATTTAAATTTGGTATCACTGTTCGCAATAAAATTGTCTATAAGAACATATCTATAAAATGCCGCCAAAGCATAAGGACTATCAACACCAAATAAAAAACTATTCAGATCACTCGCCAAGAGCGCCAAACAACAAAATGTTTCCACTCTTAATGGTTGCGAAGCCTACAGTTGTCCTACATCGCTAATTGTGGTATCATTGGAATCGCAATAAAATTCTCTACACGGACATATGCATATAAATATAGATTCAATGTCGTAGCCCACCCAAAACAGTGTGGGAAGTGGCCGAAGTGTTACCCGCGGCGGCATATCGGCGAAACTTGTTTTGAAAAGTGTATATTCAATTCACTGTCCTGACATTATTTGTCGATGTATGTATTTCATTTTTGTACCAATGTGCTCGCAATAGAATGTTCTATAAGAACATAAGTATTAAAGGTCACATAAGGATGCGTTCGACCGGCAACATACATAAAAACTACGTCGATTATACGCGTCGTGTCAATAATAAAATTGTTTTACCACGATGATTCACTGCCACGCCGTTCTTTAATAAGCTGTTCGGCTATTAGAGAGAACGTAAATTTCATGGCAAACATTTGTAAACTATTCCCAAGTTGATCGGATAATAAATGGATTTTATACAAATATTTTTTCTTTGTGACTCCCGAGAGGGGCACGCGTGCGGTGTGATTAATATTGGTGACAACGACGGTCTGCTGGAATGCGCCAAAATGAATAGGCATGTTTGGCTAGTAGTATACTGGGATTTTTAAAGTAATTAGCAATAAAACTGACATTGCTAAGCCTCCCACGCAGTTAGACCTTTGTCCATTCTATAGAATGGGTGTAAATTTACGTAACTGTTAAGGATGATTTAATCAGTAATTAGAAACCTTGCATATGGAACCAACCACTTTGGAGACACTTTTCATTCAGGTCGGCGTGGTTGGACATCATTGCTTTCCCCGTTCTATCTCAAATGTTTATTCTGACCCCTTCCAAGTGCTAAACTCTTAATGACTTGGCGATTTCTCCTGGTACTTGTTTCCTATGGATATTAAAAAAAAAATTTCATTAAATAGAAAGGCGCGGTTAGTTTTTTTTTTTTTGATTAGCAAAATTAAGTATACACAGCAATGTGCTGCTACCCTATTCCAGATTAGTGTAAAGAACTATAGGTTCAACTATACCTCAGGATGGGTAGTCATACATGGAATTAGATTATACCTGAATACAAAAAAAAAAAACAGCTTTGACTAAACAGCTGGCTATAAGTTCATCCAATATTCAAATTTCGCGGGATGGTTAGTCACACATGGAATATGGAGAAAATACCATCCTCTATATAAAAACGATACTGACTAAAAAGCAAGCGAGAACGTAAAATTTAATTAAGGTTGATCTGTTAATCTAACAAAATCAGGGTACTGCACAAGAATATATTTAAAATATTCCTGTGTATAAATTAAGCTCATTAAGTACCTCATAACATTGGGTCTGAAGTCACAGGTCAGTAAAGTCAATCGCAGGATGAGTGGCGATTGGTCTCGCCCCAACTCTTGTTCATAGTTTACTATTGGAACGTTTCCCAGGGGGGGGGGGATAATTGCAGTTACATGCGACTACCGTGGTTCACTAAGAGTGAAATGTACTAATGACAAATCCCACATAGCAAGCGGAGTATTAACTAAATTGAGCACAAAGCTTAATATAAATTGGAACAAATTCAAGTATGTTTATTGAGACAAAGAAATACATCTTAAAAGGGATAGAGTAGCTTAGGCTGTTTCTACCCCCACAACAAGTTTAGGAAATGTCAGTTTATAAACTAAGTGTAATGTGCCTTCGTGTAAAACAAGTAAATTTAACTGAAGTTAATGCTTACCACAGAGGATAACTAATTAACAGTAATGGGGGCCGCTGATAACTAGCCTAATGTAGTAAACAATTGCTACAGGTGGGGGGGGGACTTTGCAAATTGTAACAATAACTTTTATTAAATATAATTTATTAATTAAAAGTAAATTTAATAGCCGTATTACTTCCAGAGAATAAGCTACCTTGAGTAAAATAACAATACAGTAACATTGTATTGCCGGGAACAAGTTTCAGTAAACACAATGTGCTGCTACCCTATTCTATACAATTCATTAGTGTACATCACAAACTAGCTATGAGTTCATCCAATATCTCTTAGGATGGTTAGTAATACTGTACATGGAATCTGGAGAGAACATGAAATGCGAGGCTAATCTGCACTTGCAAAATTTTGGTAGAACACGGGTGTCCTCGAATATTCGTATAAAAACTTAAGAGCTCATTACAATTTGATCCGAAATTAATAACAGGGCAATCGGATAGTGTTCGTGTGTACTAGCTCTTGGTCACGTGGTTTACAATCTGAATGGTCTTCACTGGGGGATTCATGCAGCTACTTGTCATAGATATCGGTAATGTCTAATTTTGCCAATTACAAGGTAACATTGCTTTATGCTGTCCGTACATATAGTTCTAATCATATCATAATGTTGCAGTTTCAAAAAAGGATCGAGCTCAATTTCATGTTTATCACCTGCAGCTTTAGCTGCCTTGTCACTCATGCTGCAAAACACTTAAGCGAGATACTATCCGTACAAATGAGACTGAAACATGCTCTGAATTATGTTTATAATAGATATTAAACATTCTAGTACTATATCTATTCTGTATGTTGGTTTCAAATGCTTTAAGAATCGCTTTCAATCACAATTACTTTGATGTTGTGCAGTGCGTTGGAGGCAAGTTGTAGCGCAGCTAATTCTGTATGTGTGGAGCTTAGTAATTTGTTCAATATCATACTAGCAGCCCGTATACTCGTGCTAGGGAATATCTTCGTGTATTCTACAGGCTGCCTGATAACATTTGAACAGAGCCCAAGTGTAGGCATAGTGCTCATGCGGCCGTAAGTTGCTAGAAACTTAAGTTAAGGACCGTAAGTTAAAATTCAAGGCATAGATAGTTTCAAGTGATGCTTTGAGAAGTGCTGGGTTTTCCTTACTCTATGCTGATGGACGTGTAATGTATTTATTAATCCAGAATAAAAGGTTTTGCCAAATGTTTAATTTTGTTATGTTGTCAGTCTCATTAGATAACTAATATAATTATAGATGTACTAGTATTCCACAAAGCCACAATTGGTTATTATTATGGAGTCCATAGTATGCCTTAAGACGATTGTTGAAGCTTCAACGCCACATAGTAACAACTGGGTAAATCGTTTAACTGTATTTATAAACACAACTGCAGTTATAGTTCATTTATTATGCATTAGTCAAGAAGGGTTCGAGGCACATAATGGTCTCGGGGACTAAATCCCCAAATTCATTTGGCTAAGGAAATTAAGTCTTGATAAGCCAGTTACAAAATGCATTGTATGTTGTTTCGTCATTAATGGGTTTGAGACCAACCACAAGTACAGCCTCTAAGCTAAGCAACTTACATGCAGTGAGCTAGTATCGCAATTAATATATAATATCCTGCACACCGCCCCCCATTCTAGTAGGCAGCAGTGGATAGGTTGTTCAATCGCCCACATTTATTACCTACAGTTATCAAACGGGATATTAGGCCAAAATTTCTGGTGGTAGATAATTTTGAATGACATTTGCACATCCCTTTAACATTTGTTATAGTTATCTCTAAATTGATGTATATTTTCGTACTCCCTTCATTACAGTAATGGAGGGTGTGCGAATAATTGTGTTGATAGTTTACATTTGGTAAGGTTTGCATCAGCGGGTAATGCAAATTTCCATTAATACTTATAGTCGAGCAGTAGTAACATCTTCGAGTCTGCTGATTTTATTGTGTGATCCGTAGATGTGTGGCTCTTCTTGCATGATAGTTCGATAAATGGAATTACACTCTGCCTCAGATCTACAAGGTTTTGTTCAAGTTCTTGGTACATGTATATTTTATTCATGTTATTTAGCATGCATGCAGTCTTACGCAAGTACACCACAGGCTAGCAACTTGCAGTTGCTGATTGATAACTGTAGTGACACGAGGCTTCAATCATCCTTGGCTGCGTTTTCCAAGGTACATTGGTAGTTGCCCTTGAGCAGCTGGAACTGGAGATGAGAGAAGGTGGAGGTCGGGATACAGGGGAAGCGAGGTAAATGTACGGAGAGTCTGGCCAGCGCTGATAGCGTTAGAAGGGAGGTGATGGATTCCACCGACAACAATCCAGCACCGAGGTATATGTAATTTAGGTGGCATAGTTCGTTGTTCCTTAAAAGTGAGGTTAAGACTGTGTCGGTAAGAGCATCTTGGTTAACATCCAGCACCATGGTTTCCAGAGCAGAGTTTTTGGACAGCAACCGACCCAACAGAGAGGACTGTATTATCACGCCTGAAAGGTTCAGATGAACCAGTTCTCTGAATAAAGATCTCCGATGAGAAGAAGTCACTATCATAGTCCCCGGAGTGTCGACGATAATGAGGTTGTGTAACTCAAGGCGCTGCAGGCTCATACAGTGGGTTTGTATTACTCTTACAGTCTCCCACGAGACGGGCGTTCGAGTGTATTCATCGAACTCTATTTCTAGGACGTGGAGCTTCTTGCCAGTTGCTTGGACAGCAGCGACGATGAGAGACTCGGGAACAAGTCTGAGTGTAAGAGAGACAAGGTGCTCAAGTCGAGTGAGAGCGGACATAGAGGTGAGGGAAGGGTCTGTACACTCCATCATGAGGCACTGCAGCCTTGGACACAGGCTTAATGTCTCAAGAGCCCTTCCACTGGCCCGCCACAGGGAGAGCGATGTAAGGTTGAAAGGTGCCGCGCTAGACGATTTCTGCTTCAAGTACACAAAAAGATTACAGAGGGACGTGTTCCAATAGCTATACTGGAGGCTCCTGAGGTTACGTAATGAGTGAAGTAGCACCACGGCGCCGCACAGGGTAACTAAAGGGGACTGGATTATCAATTGGGAAAGTGGTGGGCAAGAGGTATCCAGATCGTCATCGTTACCACCAATATCCAACCAGGAGTTAACATCCATATAGCTTTTAACCAAGGCGTGCACGACGTCCAAATCTGTTACACTGCAGGAGTCAAGATGCAACGAGTGTAGCCCTCGGGGATTCTTTTTAATATAAGACAAAACTTCTGAAGCTGCATCATCGCCAGCTACATGAACTGAGGTAAGATATGGCGAACGATGAATGATTTCGGCGAGAACTCCAGCCGTCATAGTCACCCCGTCCAGGTGAAGACTATGTAGGCTGAACTTGGACGTGGGCCCCAGTTGTTCTAGCAAATTGGTACAGTACTCTTGCCCAAGATGTAACCAAGAACCCGTGCTAAAGTTGGCGATCACAGTCAGGTGCTGCACATCAACCATGAGATTGAGAAACACCATCCTGACGAGAGTGAGATGGTCGTGGACTGCCTGCATCTCCCCAACCTCTTGAACCACTGCCGTCCGCAGCTCCAAAGGCAGCATCGTCTTAACAACCACACACATCTGGATCAATTCCTGCAAGGTACACTTATTAGGTATGTAATGTTGCAAGGAAGCCAAGATACTTAATCTCTTAAGTCTTAATCACGTTACAGAAATTTAAATTAGCATGAAAATCAGTAATTACGACTTATATAAAAGAAACGTATAATTACAATTACTAATCAACCATAGATTGGGTGCCTAATGATGTTAATAAAATGTAACTCAAATTTATTAACATGGGGCAACTAGAGCTAAATGAATGAAATGATTTAGGGGAGAGGCTCCTGAGCGCCGTGCTGTGGAATCAACTTGGAAAAAAACCCACCCCTGGAACCAAGGTCATATGTTCATGGCAGTCATGTTTTTTGTCTGTCTATAAGAGAGCTACAGGGCTAACAACACTGCAAACCAGACAGGACTGGGCTGATCTGTAATAATAATGCACAATGAAATCACATTAACGTGATGTATTAGTGAGAAAATTTGTAGGATCTATGAGGAGTATCCGAACCCGCTAAGGTGGTACTCCCACGCAAGCGCCCAAGACCACTGTACAACGACATGGTGAATAGCAATGCAACCCCACCTTATTTATTTATTTATTTATTTATTTATTTATTTATTTATTTATTTATTTATTTATTTATTTATTTATTTATTTATATACAAGAAGGTACATTGGGTTAGAGAGAATACATAGCATAGTATTTACAATCTTGTAAAACCACTAGTATGCGCAGCGTTTCGGGCAGGTCCTTAATCTAACAGATAATTTTAAGTAGGTAAATTCTAGCAGAATTAATAAAATGATAACAAATACATTGCAAGAAAAAAAATTAGATGAGAGAGAATAGTAAGTATATTAAAGCACATTGGTATATTAAAGCTCTGATTGATTACATTGACAGCTTGATTGGTAATTTAAACAAGATTAACAGACACCATACAGCAGAGTGACAGTACATATAAGAAGACAGCAATGATCACAATGGTAAAGATGTTCGGATTGGGTACATAAAGATAGGGAGATTGGGTAGCAATAGATATAGTGCAATTTTAAAGCAAAAAGTAAAAAACTATGCAGATGAAATTAGGTACTTTTTAGTTTTGTTTTTGAATGACGCAAAAGTTGGACAGCTTTTCAATTCACTAGGGAGTGAGTTCCATAGACTGGGTCCCTTTATTTGCATAGAGTGTTTACACAGATTAAGTTTGACTCTTGGGATATCAAAGAGATATTTATCTCTGGTGTGGCGATAATGGGTCCTATTATATCTGTCCAGGGAGAGTTTCAGAGCAGGATTTGCATTTAAGAACAGGGTTTTGTAAATGTAGTTGACAAAAGAGAATCTGTGGAGTGAGATTATGTTTAGCATGTTAAGGGAGTTAAACAAGGGGGGCTGAGTGTTGTCTGAAAGTAGAATTTGTTATTATTCTGATAGCAGATTTTTGCTGGGTGATGATGGACTTGAGGTGGTTTGCAGTTTTTATTATTATTATTATTATTTTCTACCACAGACGTGGCCACACATTTACAATGCTAACCAGCATATATACATTTTCTTTTGTCCCCCATGGACAGGGTTAGAGATCTGTTAAACATATAGTTCAGGGGTTTATTAAACACTCAACCACAGAAGGTGATTCGGTGCTTTTAAAATGCTTAGCTAACCTACATACGTAAATACATAGATACACAGATTTACGTATGCCCTACATAAAGTGTTCGATGTGTCTTTTACATAATGTGCATTTACAAAGGTGAAATGTAATTCTGATCAGCTTCCATATATACTTTATACACACACACATATACGTACACATACATATATACATACATGTATACATACATATATACACACACACATGCATTCACATACATTTGTCTCTTTTACTCTGACAGGGTGAGATAGCTGATAGAGAAACTAGTGTGCAATTAAGCACTTAATCACTGAAGGTGATGAAGGTGCTTTTACAAGCTCAGGTTATATAGTTACATCACATACATACATTATATAATTGATACATTACATGGTCAATCTTGGGTACAAGTCCAATATATCATCAAGTGTTCCAGTACTCATATAGTAATTACAGAGTTCAGCATACCTCAGCCCAGGAGGGCGAAAGTCAGTCAATATGGGACATTCTACAATATAATGTTCAAGAGAGTGCATGTTTTCTCTGTTTGCAGTGGTTGAACCCCATGCACAGATACCATAATTAAGATAGGGATCTAGAGAATTCCTCTAAATATTCTAGGTCTATGTGGTCCTATGACTTCCAACTGAAGCCCAATCAGAATTTCACACATTGGCGCAAATTGTTGGTAGTTCTTCTGTTACCAGTGACCTGTTATACACCATGGAGGTTACCTTGAGGTTACCTTGAGGTGCTTCCGGGGCTTAGCGTCCCCGCGGCCCGGTCGTCGACCAGGCCTCCTGGTTGCCGGACTGTTTTTTTTTTTTTTTTTTTTTTTTTTTTTTTTTTTTTTTTGAGATATATACAAGAGTTGTTACATTCTTGTACAGCCACTAGTACGCGTAGCGTTTCGGGCAGGTCCCTGGAATACGATCCCCTGCCGCGAAGAATCGTTTTTTCATCCAAGTACACATTTTACTGTTGCGTTAAACAGAGGCTACAGTTAAGGAATTGCGCCCAGTCAATCCTCCCCGGCCAGGATACGAACCCATGACATAGCGCTCGCGGAACGCCAGGCGAGTGTCTTACCACTACACCACGGAGACTAAAAGACTGTTCGCCGGAGAGTGGCGAACACGGTGCTTCGGCTCCCTTCTTTTAGTATTCATGGTAGGATTCCATCTGTACTCACCTAATACTTCTTGCGGGGGTGGAGCTTTGGCTGTCTGGTCCTGCCTCTCAACCGGCGCCTGACAGCTGAGTGCTTAGGATTCGTAGTCCTGAGGTTCCGGGTTCGATCCCCGGTGAAGGCGGAGACAAATGGGCAAAAAGTTTCTTTCACCCTGATGCCCGTGTTACCTAGCAGTAAACAGGTACCTGGGAGTTAGACAGCTGCTGCGGGCTGCTTTCTGGGGGATGTGTAACAAAAATGAGGTTTGGTCGAGGACGCTAAGCCCCGAAATCATCTCAAGATAACCTCAAGAAGATAACCGTCAATCAACTGGTGTACAGATTCCTGAGCCTATATCTACATTATACTGAGCTTATATCATATCTACATTTGAAACTATGTATGGCGTCTGCCTCCGCATTCCTTACTACTCTGACAATAAAAAAGTTCTGTCTAGTGTGTCTATGGCTCATCTGAGTACACAGTTTCCACCGGTGTTCCCGTGTGTGTGTGTGTGTGTGTGTGTGTGTGTGTGTGTGTGTGTGTGTGTGTGTGTGTGTGTGTGTGTGTGTGTGTGTGTGTGTGTGTGTGTGTGTGTGTGTGTGTGTGTGTGTGTGTGTTCCCGTGTGTGTGTGTGTGTGTGTGTGTGTGTGTGTGTGTGTGTGTGTGTGTGTGTGTGTGTGTGTGTGTGTATGTACTCACCTAGTTGTACTCACCTAGTTGTGTCTGCAGGATCGAGCATTGACTCTTGGATCCCGCCTTTCGAGCATCGGTTGTTTACAGCAATGACTCCTGTCCTATTTCCCTATCATACCTGGTTTTAAAATTATGAATAGTATTTGCTTCCACAACCTGTTCCTGAAGTGCATTCCATTTCCCCACTACTCTCACGCTAAAAGAAAACTTCCTAACATCTCTGTGACTCATCTGAGTTTCAAGCTTCCATCCATGTCCTCTCGTTCTGTTACTATTCCGTGTGAACATTTCGTCTATGTCCACTCTGTCAATTCCTCTGAGTATCTTATACGTTCCTATCATGTCCCCCCTCTCCCTTCTTCTTTCTAGTGTCGTAAGGCACAGTTCCCTCAGGCGCTCTTCATACCCCATCCCTCGTAGCTCTGGGACGAGTCTCGTTGCAAACCTCTGAACCTTTTCCAGTTTCATTATATGCTTCTTCAGATGGGGACTCCATGATGAGGCGGCATACTCTAAGACTGGCCTTACGTAGGCAGTGTAAAGCGCCCTAAATGCCTCCTTACTTAGGTTTCTGAATGATGTTCTAACTTTTGCCAGTGTAGAGTACGCTGCTGTCGTTATCCTATTAATATGTGCCTCAGGAGATAGATTAGGTGTTACGTCCACCCCCAGGTCTCTTTCACGCGTCGTTACAGGTAGGCTGTTCCCCTTCATTGTGTACTGTCCCTTTGGTCTCCTATCTCCTAGTCCCATTTCCATAACTTTACATTTGCTCGTGTTGAATTCTAGTAGCCATTTCTCTGACCATCTCTGCAATCTGTTCAGGTCCTCTTGGAGGATCCTGCAATCCTCATCTGTCACAACTCTTCTCATCAACTTTGCATCATCCGCAAACATCGACATGTAGGACTCTACGCCTGTAAACATGTCGTTAACATATACAAGAAATAGAATTGGTCCCAGCACCGATCCTTGTGGTACTCCACTTGTTACTGTTCGCCAGTCCGACTTCTCGCCCCTTACCGTAACTCTTTGGCTCCTTCCTGTTAGGTAGTTCCTTATCCATTCTAGGACCTTTCCCCCACCCCTGCCTGCCTCTCGAGCTTGAACAGCAGTCTCATGTGCGGTACTGTATCAAAGGCTTTTTGGCAGTCCAGAAATATGCAGTCTGCCCAACCATCTCTGTCCTGTCTTATCCTCGTTATTTTATCATAGAATTCCAGAAGGTTTGTTAGGCACGATTTCCCTGTCCAGAACCCATGTTGATGTTTGTTCACAAACCTAATGTTCTCCAGGTGTGCAACCAGTCGCAGCCTAATTATTCTTTCCAGTATTTTACAGGGGATGCTTGTCAGTGATACAGGTCTGTAGTTAAGTGCCTCCTCCCTATCTCCTTTCTTGAAGATCGGCACGACATTTGCCTTCTTCCAGCAACTGGGCAATTCTCCTGACATAAGTGACTCATTAAAGATCATTGCCAGAGGCACGCTGAGGGCCTGTGCTGCTTCTTTTAGTATCCACGGTGATACTTTGTCTGGTCCAACTGCTTTAGTTGCATCTAGAGTTGTCAACTGTTTCATTACCTCCTCTGCTGTCACCTCTATATCTGATAGTCTTTCATCTAGGGTAACCCCTTCCAACAATGGGAGCTGCTCAGGCTCGGTAGTGAACACTCCATGGAAACTGGCATTCAGTGCCTCGCAGATTTCCTTGTCACTTTCAGTATATGCCCCCTCTGTCTTCCTTAGTCTTGTCACTTGGTCGTTCACCGACATTTTTCTTCTTATATGACTGTGTAGTAACTTAGGTTGTTTTTTCGCTTTGATTGCAATATCGTTCTCATAGTCCCTTTCCGATGTTCGTCTTATGTTAATGTAATCGTTCCTAGCTCTGTTGTATCTGCTTCTGTTGTCCTCTGTTCTTTGTCTTCTGTACTTCCTCCACTCCCGTCTGCTGGCCATTTTTGCTTCCTGACACTGTCTATTAAACCATGGGTTATTATATTCCTTCTTATTTTTTCCCTTTACCGTTGGTATAAATCTCTCTTCGGCCTCCTGGCATTTCTGTATGACTAGGTCCATCATATCTTGGACTGTTTTTCCTCTAATTTCTTCCTCCCACTCTAATTTCCTCCTCTAATTTCCTTTGTGTGTGTGTGTGTGTGTGTGTGTGTGTGTGTGTGTGTGTGTGTGTGTGTGTGTGTGTGTGTGTGTGTGTGTGTGTGTGTGTGTATAATTACCTAAGTGTAGTTACAGGATGAGAGCTACGCTCGTGGTGTCCCGTCTTCCCAGTACTCTTTGTCGTATATCGCTGTGAAATTACTGACGGTTTTGGCCTCAACCACCTTCCCACTTAGTTTGTTCCAACCGTCTACCACTCTGCATATATGTGTGGATTTATAGACGTCTGCAGAATCAGGCTTTGATTGATTTTTTATTGTTGCCGCCGAAGGCGGCTAGTTTATTGTGCACCCCATACTCATCCTGTGAGCGGTAGAGCAAAAGCATTACAGAGGGCACAAAAGGTCTTCATCAGACCTCATCTTAGATTATTACATAAACAATTTCATTTAGCTCTGGACCCTCGCCTTTCTAACCAATCTATTTTTCCTCTATTATATCTACTACATATATTTCTCTCTAATACACGCACACACACACACCCTCAAGAAGCAGCCCGTAGCAGCTTTCTAGCTCCCAGGTACCTATTTACTCCTTGGTGAACAGGGACATCAGGGTGAAAGAAACCCTACCCATTTGTTTTCGCCTCAGCCGGGGATCGATCCCCGAACCCTAGCACTACGAATCACGAGCGCTGTCTACTCAGCCGTCACGCCCCTGTGTACTCACCTAATTGTGCTTGCGGGGATTGAGCTTTGGCTCTTTGGTCCCGCCTCTCAACTGTCAATCAACTGGTGTACAGATTCCTGAGCCTACTGGGCTCTATCATATCTACATTTGAAACTGTGTATGGAGTCAGCCTCCACCACATCACTGCCTAATGCATTCCATTTATTAACTACTCTGACACTGAAAAGGTTCTTTCTAATGTCTCTGTGGCTCATCTGGGTACTCAGTTTCCACCTGTGTCCCCTTGTTTGTGTCCCACCCGTGCTGAAGAATTTGTATTTGTCCATCCTGTCAATTCTCCTGAGAATTTTGTAGGCGGTTATCATGTCTCCCCTTACTCTTCTGTTTTCTAGGGACGTGAGGTTCAGCTCCTTTAGCCTTTCCTCGTAGTGTGTGTGTGTGTGTGTGTGTGTGTGTGTGAGGACACAACATCCTGGCTGGTCGTGGAGGTAATCTCAGGACAGGTGGTCTAGACACGCTCAATACCCATAACTCGCTCAGCCTTCAGCTTAGTTCACTCCCACATATTTCGTCCCTTAGAATGTGTGTGAGAAGACAGAGGTGAAATCTGATTAAAGTAACGCAACCATCCTCAGGCTATGCTCGCCCAAGCCTCAGCAGTCACCTCACGCACATCTGTGCCAGGTAAGTTCTCTCGGGCTCACCATAGCCCATGCTACTTGCAACTGTTTGTTTCCAGTAACTGAATCTAAAACAATAACAACAACAACAGTCACCTTAGAAAAATCGTAAATTTATCCATATTGTGTATTCAAAATATATATTTTTCAAATATAAATTAATTTTATTATATATTATAACTGTAATTGTGTGTATAGTTAGGCCTAGGATAGGTTTGGTGTTTAGGTTCTGTGACTAATTATTCGTATTTGCACCACATTTGTAAACATTGTTGGGGACAAGTTCGAACGAAATCAGTTGACAGTCTAAGGTAAAGTATTTTTCATTCATAAACAAGAATGAGGTGGGGTGAGGAACTGCTGGATTAACGAGCATTTAGCTATTGTTTTGAGGGCGAGGTGGTTCAAAACAGTGGTCAAATGCTCGTTAATCTACATGTCTAGTTTATACAACCCGTCCTCGACCTAAGTCCATTACAGCCAGCGGTCGACCCCACAGACGCATTCATAAATTTTAACATGCTGTTCATTCAAAACGGAAATTTTCTAAAAATAAATTAATATTATAATATATTAGCATATTGTGCAAAAATAGGCATAGGTTAGGTGTTTAGGGTCTGTTGCGATTATTTGCATTTGTAGTACGTGGGTGAAGCATTTATAGTGTTGTGTTTCAAACAAAATTCGTCAGTGAAACATTTGTTCCGGAAGTGTTCGAACGAAATCAGTTGTGAGTCGTGTGTAAACCGTTTTTATTCATAAACAGGGGCTTTGGCGGGTGCATGGAATCACTTTTGGGGTCTTTGGAGGACGGGCTGGTTTATACGTCATTTCGTAATCTCTTTTCTTGAACAGTGCTTCACTTAGTGTTCGTGTTCACCGCGTACCTCTTTCTGGTTCAAGCACACAATGTAACTATAACCACCAACAGAACTAAGCCACCTCACAACCTACACAGATATATGCATATTTCCTTTCCCCCTCCATCTTTGTCTAACTCTACCTCTTCCCCTCCCTCTCTCCTTCCTCTCTACCCAAAACTCTACCTCTCCTTCCCTCTCTACCTCTCCCCTACGTCTCTCTGCTTCTCCTCTACGTCTCTCTGCCCTAACTCTTTCTTACCCCACCCTTCTACCTTTCTGTCCGAATTACACAACCTTTTCCCTACAAACTCTTCTTTTTCCCTCTGTCCCAATCCTTTCTTTCCTCCCACACTAACCAACATTCCTTCCCTCTCCCTCTCTCTCTACCCAAAACTTTAGCTCCTCCACTCCCTCCCCTTTCTGTCTCAACCCATCCTGTACCCTCTCCAGGCTCACCTTGGGAAGAGGTGCAGGTGAGGGGGTTGTGATGGTGAAGGTGAAGGCAGCCGCGAGGTGTGACAGGGTCAGGTCCCTCAGCCTCCGCGGGTTCTTGCGGGGCGCCACTGCCCGCCAGTCTGTTGGCGAGGAAATATTGACCATTTATTTATTTATTTATTTATTTATTTATTTATTTATTTATTTATATATTTATATACAAGAAGGTACATTGGGATTGTGAGGATATATAGCATTACATTCTTTTTTACATAGTTTACATTCTTGTGAAGCCACTAGTACGCGCAGCGTTTCGGGCAGGTCCTTAATCTAAGAAAATTTTAAGTAGGTAAATACTTGCAAAATTTATAAAAATGATAACAGTTACATAGCAAGAAAAAATAAAAGATGAGAGAAATTTGTAGGTATATAGGCACATAGGTAGGCACATAGGTAGCTCAGATTGATTGCAATGACAGCATGAATGGTACTTTAACAAAAATTAGTAGGCACAATACAGCATATGGCTAGCACATAAAAGAAGACAGCAATGAACACAATGATAGAGTTGTTAGACAATATATATTTTAGTTACACAGTGTTGTGAGATACATTTCCAAAGTTACACAATAACGTCAAGTAAATCTCTATACGGTGACACGGGTCCCAGTAGTACAGTCGGGTTCGTTCTCGACTCAATCAGGAATTTCAGGGCCGAATCCCGGGAAAGCCAGAAATGGTTTGACGCGTTTCCTATCACCTAATTTTCTGTTCACCTAGCAGTAAATATGAGCCTATGAGTTAGTCAACTTGTGGGGTTTCATCTTGCGTAGCGTCAGTAGTTCCACCTTGAGAGGACACCTCGATATAAGCCAATAACATAATAACATGTATACACACTGGCTGCCTCTCTATCCCCAGTAGAATGAATTAGTATTATTATTAAATGTAAAATACCTTTATATTACATAAATCTGCATAATTTAATGATATTGAAGCTGGAGCCAGTGGTGCCTGCGGGATGATGCGCAATTAACTTGAGGTACGCGAGGCTGTGTGTGTTGGGTAATGCAAATTATAGTTCGGCGCGCTAAGAAGGCGGTTGCTAGATGTGAGCACGTTCACACACATCTTACCATATCAGGGTGTGTGTCATGGCTGGCCCGCAGGGCTGTACATCACACCTGTCAGGGAACGCTTTAAGTATGTTACACATCAAGGCCCTAGGATGGAAAAATGAAGTATTACGGTGTCAATTTTTGGTTTGATAACATAGTAACCAGATGACACGGGAAACTATTTTGTTCATATTATGCGGGAATTTAAAAACCGGTCCGAGAAAAATATAACTGGCTTGCAAGGCTCGTGCTAGGACAGTAAGGGAGAAAAAGATATGATTTTTTATACGAATTAATCTCATTCTAAATTACTAATGAAATTTGATCAATGAGCTTATGCACTAGAGAGTGTGCCCGGGGGTGCCAATCTGTCCTTTTCTCGCTCTCCTTCCTTCCCTCTCTTACATTCTTCTTCCATCCCTCCAGTTCTTCTTGCCGCCCTCCCGTTCTCTCTCCCTATATTCCTCCCCCTTTGCTCTCCCAGTGGGCAAAACATGTTAAGAGTAATGTTTATTAATAAACATTGTCGCTGTTGAATCGGCGCTGAATCAACATTATCGACATTGAATGAATGTTTTCGACGTTGAATCAACGTTATCAGCGTTGAATCAACGTTATGGATGTTGAATCAATGTTAACGACGTTAAATAAACGTTAACAATGTTTAATCACAGTCGATTCAACGTCGATTACAGCCGACTCTATGGACAATCAAACCCACACTTCAGATTGCAAAGGCATTGTTAGTTATTGCAATACGATTGATTGATTTGATGAAGATTAAGCCACCCAAGAGGTGGCACGGGCATGAATAGCCCGTATTTGCGACACGAAGCAATCCTACCTAATGATGGGCATGGGCGTTGACCCCAAACACTCTGTGATACTCATCACACAGCCACAATTCACCATGGAAAGTTGTATCAGGCCGACGGCACCCGTCTGGACTCCAAACCCGAGAGAGAGAATTATCAGGGGGAAAGCGCCAAGTCATTACAACTATATAGCACTAGGAAGGGGTCAGGATTTAGGATGGGACGGGGAAGGTCTCTCATAGATTTAGATATGAGAACGGCACTTGACATACGGATGAATAGGCTGTAGCAGAGTTAACATAACAAGATATGTACAATATATTGTCTCAGTCAATATTTACCTGAGGGCCACTAATAATGGGGGGCGGGATGAGGACAGGAAGCCGGCGGCTTATCAAAGGTCCCCCCCCCCATTTGCCCTGATGATCTTTTCCAGATGTATTTTAAAACCCAGCAGAATTTTGGCGCTTACGGCTTCGGCGGGTAGGCGGTTCCACGGGTTTACAACCGTATGGGTGAAAAAGCATCTACTGTTTTCTGTCCTACAGTGTGGCTTGTTGAGCTTGGACCCGTTGCTCCTCGTTCGTGTTACATCTGACCTTTTGAAGAAATTGTCCGGATCAATATCCTCCAAATTGTTCAGTATTTTAAGGATTTCGATGAGATCCGCCCTGTCATGCCTGGTTTGCAGTGTTGGCAGTAAAAAAATTACACTTGTTGTGCAACTTTTAATGAATGATGAATTCTGACTCCAAGGCCCTTTTCTATATCTATTTGTTGTAAAGCAGTGCTGTCAATTTAATAGTTGTGACGTGGATTGTTATGCCCCACATGCAGCAAGGTCTTGCATTTATCGACATTAAAAAGCATTTGCCAGTCATCTGCCAGTTTGTGGAGTTCTTGTAGATCTCTTTGTAAGGTCTCCATATCACTTGCACTTCCCACTTTACCATAGATCTTAGTGTCATCTACAAATCTGATGATGTGGTTTGTAATATTCTCATCTATGTCATTGATGTATGTGACAAAAAGGGTTGGCCCCAAAATGGACCCCTGTGGCAACCCACTTAGCACATTTCCCCAGTCAGATTCATTCCCATTTAGCACGATCCTTTGTTATCTATGTTTTAACCATTGTTTTATCTATTCCAGTATGCTCCCATTTATTCCATGTGTCTGTAATTTCCTTGCCAGTCTCTCTTGTGATACCATGTCAAAAGCTTCGCAAAGTCCATGTAAGCTACATATACCGGAAGTCCTTTGTCTGAATAACCAGTTACCATTTCCAGAAATGTGAGCAGGTTAGTAAGACAGGATCTATTTTTAACAAACCCATGTTGCGTTGATTTTACAAGATTGTTCTCTGTGATATGTTGTATGATTCCTTCCCTTAGGATTCTCTCCGTGAGCTTGAAGATGTGTGATGTCAAGCTGATCGGACGGTAGTTTTCTGCCGAGCTCTTTCTGCCTTTTTTGAAAATAGGGGTAACATTTGCACATTTCCATTCAAGGGGGGACTATCCCTTGGTCCAGGGATTTTCTGAAAAGGGCGGTTTCAGTGGCAAGCATAGTGCGTTTGCCAGTTCCTTTACGACTTTGGATTGAAATCCATCTCCCCACCTGAGGCTTTTGAGTCTTTTAGTGTATCAATGCTCTTCCTAATTGTGTCGCATGTAATGAGGATATCCCTGAATTCAATTTCTTCACCGCCTTCAAACATTTGTGCGGGTGATGGGATGTCGTTCAATCTTTCTAGTGTGAACACTGATGTAAAGTATTCACTCAGTGTCTGATGCCCTTTTATCATTCAATATAACTTGGTTAGTCTCATCTTTTACAGGTCCTGCAGAGTTCTTTGTTTGGGTTTGACTTCGCACATATGCATAGAATGATTTTGGATCTTGCTTTATGTTTTGACCAAGTTTTCTTTCGTTGTTTCTTTTGGCTAATATGATTTCCTGGATAGCTGAATTTAATGCCCTTTTATATATCTCATGATCCATGATGTTCATCGTGGATTTATACCATCTCCAGAGGTTCTGGTTAGTTACTACTTGTGTTATCCATCTTGTTCCCTTTCTTTTCTTTCTCCTTTTTGGCACATGTCTTTGAACGAGTTCAGTAATGATCTTTTTGAAGTTTTCCCCATGATGTTTCCCTGCCATGATCATCGATCAGCTCCCTCCATGAGGTGTTTTGCAATTCCTCTCTCATTCCCTGATAGTTCCCTCGATGGTAATCTACAAGATCATCATCCTGGACCTTTACGAGAGTTTCTGTAATTGTATTCCATCTTAGAATATTGTGATCACACGATGCGGCGAGCTTTTCCCCTACTTTTTTCCCCTAAGAATAACAAACTCTGCTTTCAGACAACACTCAGCCCCTCCCCCCTGTTAAACTCCCTAAACATGCTAAACATAACCTCACTCCACACATTCTCTTGTGCCAATTACATTTACAAAACCCTGTTCTTAAGTGCAAACCCTGTTCGGAAACTCTTCTTGGACAGATGTAATAGAACACATATTCACCACACCAGAAATAAATATATCTTTGATATCCCCAGAGTCAAACTTAATCTGTGTAAACACTATGCAAATAAAGGGACCTAGTCTATGGAACTAACTCCCTAACGAATTGGAAAGCTGTCAAACTTTTGCCTTATTAAAAAATAAAACCAAAATGTACCTAATTTCATCTTCATAGTTTCCTACTTAGTGCTTGAAACTCGCACTCTATAGTACTACCCAATTCCCCGATATATGTACCTATGCCATACAACTTTACCATTGTAATAATTGCTGTTATCTTATATCATGTTATACACATAGTTTGCTACATTATACCTTGCAATAATCCTCAAATTATGCTATGTACCTGTGGATAACCCTTAAATTTACTTTAATGTACCTACTTTTTTCTGTCAATTTCTCACAATATATTTTTATACGTTCTTACAATGTACCTGTAAACATTTTTTTAATTTTGCTAGAAATTACCTTCTTAAAATTATATGTTAGATTAAGGATCTGCCCGAAACGCTATGCGTGCTAGTGGCTTTACAAGAATGTCAAACTTCAAGTCTCTATACTCTCATAAGCCCAATGTACCTTTTTGTATATAAATAAGTAAATAAATAAATAACTTGAATTTGATCGACCATGTCCCTTTTCTGATGTTCGCATAAGGTCCAGAGCGCTGTTACCTCCCGTCTTCCTCATGTGAGGAAGGAGCTACAGTATAGGCACTGCTGCTATTCCAAAAATGTTTTGAATTCTGAATAATTCAGAATTAGGCTTTTCTTTGCAATTTCAGTTCTCTTATGTCTGATTAAAACTAAATCGTTTATTCAACCTGGGTATGTAACTTAATCCGTATTCTTAGTTCATACGTCTAGAGTTTGGCTGTATTGAGTGTATACTGAGTGTATAAATATCGTTCCACTGGCGCCTGCCAGCTGCAGTCACAAAAATTACTAAACAATCACTGTTATACACATTAATGTAAACCTGGGACAAATAGGATACATCTAATGTGCAGTAAAAAGAAAAGGTTACTCAGATTTTTTCATTATTTTTATACGACATAGCACTTTTAATTTATGCGAACTAGAGATGCTTGTAATATAAATACACTGTTAATTAACACTCACATTTGTAAACACTTGTCTTTAATGCGTGCTTATTAATGTAATGGAAGTAAATTAACTTTCGCCGAACTGCAGATAAAGAAACAAAATACAATTTCATGCTACGTGCCAGAACTCACTGCCAATAATAACGATACAAATGTAGTTACTAACTCAACTTGTGTTTGTTGAACGAGTTTGGCCCTTCCATCTTGGAGAGACAGACCCTTCCCCCAGGACAGCTATGGGGTAACTAACTCGCCAGGCGGCCCGTGCTGCTCTGGACGTGTCTCCTGTACCGCCATCACCGCTTACATTTCTCCATTTGTCATTTGAAGCCACGTAATTTTTAAATCTGAATTTACCCCAAGGTCACATCTCCAGTGGCCTCGGCGGGAACAGGAAGCCGGCGACTTGTCAAGATCCCTCCCATTGCTCAAGAGAATTTTCTCTAATTGGATCTTGAACTGAAGTCTTCGACTTCGGTGGGTAAGTGTTTCCATGGGTTTATAACCCTATGGGTGAACAGCATCTCGATCCTTGCTGTTAAGCTCATGCCCCTTGCTTGCGTTACGTTTGGCCATTATATGAAGTGGATTAATATCCTTCAAACTTATTCAGTATTGTAAAGGTCTCGATGAGATCAGCTCATCATGATTGTTTCGCATTGTTAGTCCTATGGCACCTAGACCGTTCCTGTATGACAGTTGACTTAGTTCAGTGATGATTTCCGTCGCTATCGCTAGATGCATGGTTCAATTTTCACATTTATTTATCTGAATTCACATGAATTTATTTCAGTTCATTAGCACTCTAGTGGTCTCGGGGACCGGAAGTCAGCAGCTTGTTGAAGGTCCCTCATTTGTCCTGATGATTTTTTTCAAGCAGGATTTTAAAATTCAAGAGTTTTAGCATTGACGGTTTCGACGGGTAGACGGTTCCATGGTTTTATAACCCTGTGGGTGAAAAAAAACAACTGTTTTCAGTCTTACACTGTGGCTTGTTGAGCTAGAGACCGTTACTCCTTATTTGTGTTACATCTGACCTTTTGAAAAAAAGTTGTCCGAACCAATATCCTCCAAATTGTTCAGTTTTTTTTTAAGTTTCGATGAGATCAGCCCTGTCATATCTGGATTGCAGTGTTGTTAGCCCTGTGGTCCTCAACTATTTCTGGTATGAGAGTCGACTTTGTTCCGGACTGTTTTTTATGAGAGGCTTATCATCGCTGCCGTGACTAATCACCATCATGATGGCATTAATACCCTGATGAACCTATGTATTCATCAGCACACGTAAGGCCATAAATCAGGCTAAGTCTTACAGGGTTAGAGGGTGCATTCAACACCCTAATTCCCGAGCATGTCTGACCTTGGTCATGGAGCCGGGTTGTGGTTCCTCCACTCCCCACACCAAGTGTTATTGGTACAGTTCTCATCTCTCTCTCTCTCTGGCTGTCAGCCTACTCACCTTGAGACACGTCTCCCAGCATCACTTTCATAGTATTCCTCTTCAACGCCTCGCCTCCTTCACCTGCACTACCAACGAGACATAATCATAATCTTTTCATGAATTTGGATTTACCTGAGGGTCGCCATCTCACTGGTGGTCTCGACGAGAACCGGCTTGTCAAATGTCCCTCCAACCACTTGGGCTGGACGGTAGAGCGACGGTCTCGCTTCATGCAGGTTGGCGTTCAATCCCCGACCGTCCAAGCGGTTGGGCGTAATTCCTTCCCCCCGTCCCATCCAAAATCCCTATCCTGACCCCTTCCAAGTGTTATATAGTCGTAATGGCTTAGCGCTTTATCCTGATAGTTCCCTTCCCTCCCCCTTCCTATTTCTTCTGATGATTTTATCAAGCTGGATTTTGAATTGCTGCAATGTTTCGGCGGTATTTATGGCTTCAGCAGGTAGGCGGTTCCACAGGTTTACTGTATAACTCAATGGGTGAAAAAGCATCTCCTGCTTTTTGTCCTACACTGTACTCACCTAGTTGTACTTGCGGGGGGTTGAGCTTTGGCTGTTTGGTCCCGCCTCTTATCTGTCAATCAACTGGTGTACAGATTCCTGAGCCTACTGGGCTCTACCATATCTACATTTGGAACTGTGTATGGAGTCAGCCTCCACCACATCACTGCCTAATGCATTCCATTTGTTAACTACTCTGACACTTGAAAATTTTTGTCTAACGTCCCTGTGGCTCATTTGAGTACTACGTTTCCACCTGTGTCCCCTTGTTCGCGTCCCACCCGTGCTAAACAGTTTATCTTTATCTACCCCGTGGATTGTTGAGCGTGAAGCCATTGCTCCGTCCTTGTTATCTATGTTACCTATGACCCTTTAAAGAAGTAGTTTGGATCAATATAATTCAAATTGTTCAGCATTTTAATAGTTTCGATTAAAACAGTTTTGTCATGTTTGGTTTGTTAGTCCTATGGCCCTTAGCTCTTCTTGATATGTGAGTCGACTTAGATCTGGGGTGGTTTTTGTCCCCTGGCGCTGTAGTGTCCGGAAAGCAGATATGTCGTTCTGATGATGCTGATCTCTCAACCCGTCCTCAGACCTCGTCCATTCCATCCAACGGTCGACCCCAAAGACGTATTCATAAATTTTAACATTTTGTTCATTAAAACATGAGTGTTCTCAAATATAAATTAGGATTATTATGTATTAGTATATTGTGCATATTTAGGCATTGGTTAGGTTAGGTGTTTAGGTTCTGTTGGCGATTATTTGTATTTGTAGTACGTGGATGAAGCATTTACAGCGTTGTGGTTCGAACAAAAGTCATCAGCGAAGCACTTGTTCCGGAGGTGTTCGGACTAAGGGGCCTGACGGCTAAGTGGACAGCGCTCGGCATTCGTAATTCTAAGGTTCCGGGTTCGATCCCCGCCGGAGGCGGAAAAGCAGTTTCTTTCACCCTAATGCTCCTGTTCACCTAGTAGTAAACAGGTACTTGGGAGTTAGACAGCTGCTACAGGCTGCTTCCTGGGGATGTGTAACAAAAAGGAAGCCTGGTGGAGGACCGGGCCGCGGGGACGCTAAGCTCCGAAATAATTTCAATATGACGTCATCAGTTGAGAGTCGTGTGTAAACCGATTTTCATTCACAAACTTGGGGTTTGGCGGGTGCATGGAATGGTGTTTGCCCTTTGTGTACGAGGCCGGGCTGCGTCTCTGTGCCTGGATACAATAATCCAAGTGCGAGTGCACCAGAGATTTATTCAGTTGAATAAGTACCTTCTTTTCCTTGAAGTCAAAGGTTCGCTTGACCATTCCTAGGGTTGGGTTAGCTTTTTTACTGCAGCTCCCACTTATCTCGAACCCATTGATGAGGTGACGACTTATACTGAATTTTGTATCTAGCTCATCAAGATTGTAACTTGTTAGGCTAAATAAATTATGGGGTTCAGTCCCTGAGCCCATTATGTGCCTCTGTAACCCTTTCCACTACCGCCCACAAGATGGGTATAGGGTGCATAATAAATGAACTAAACTAACTCCCATTTATTGTGGAATTTTCAGTGATGATGGATTCTGACTTTAAGATCATTTTTTCAGCAATCTGCTGCAAGGTAATGTTGTTGATTTGATAGTTTTATCGTGCATTGTTAGGCCTCACATGCAAGGGCTTGCATTTTTCGGTATTAAAAACATTTTTACGTCTTCCGACCATTTGTAGAGTTCATGTTGATTTTTTTAAGCCTCGATATCATTATCACTTCCCACTTTACCATAGATCTTAGTGTCATCTGCAAATTTGATGATGTGGTTTGTAATATTCTCATCCATGCCATTGATGTATGTGACAAAAAAGGTTGATCCCAATATGAAACCGAGTTGTAGCTTGTTGTGCGCCCCATACTCATCCTGTGAGTGGCAGTTTATTCAAAATTCAAATTCAAGTGTTTATTTAGGTAAAGTACATACATACAAGGGGTGATACAGATATTGATGAATTTATAGATAGAGCTAGTACATACAATGCCTAAAGCCACTATTACACAAAGCGTTTCGGGCATGAGAAACACTAAAGACTAAAATTTAATACTAATTGAGATTAAAGTATAAAATGTGTTGAGAAAATATAAAATTAAAAAAAAAAAAAGGGGGAACATGGCAGGAAAACAGCAAAAATATAACTTGGTCGACAAACAGCATTGTTTAAAAATAACAGACATGGGTTGACATTTAGGGGTGAGGTAGGTTACAGGGAGTTAATTAGGTAGTACTTAGTTTTTATCTTAAACTGGTTGAGAGAGGTACAGTCTTTAACATGACTGGGAAGGTCATTCCACATTCTGGGTCCCTTGATTTGTAGAGCATTTCTAGTTTGATTAAGTCGTACTCTTGGGATATCAAAACTTTATTTATTTCTGGTGTGGTGCTCATGGGTTCTGTTACAACCTTCTATGAAGCTTTTGAGGTCAGGATTGGCATTACAGTTCAGCGTTTTATATATGTATAATACACATGAGAGAATGTGCAGTGACTTAATATCTAACATATTCAGAGATTTGAGTAGGGGTACCGATAGGGGTAATGGTATGATAGACAGTATACTTAGGAGCTACAAGAATTTTGCCCCAAGAAGAAGAAGAATTTTGCCCCAAGAGTGTAACAATTATATGCTGTGCTTACTATATTAACCTGCAATGTTAAATGGGATTCTTGTAATGTTATTTGTCTATTTGTACTCACTGAATTTGTGCGCCCCTTGAGGGACTTGAAGTAAAGGGGGGTAGAAATAGCCTAAGCTACTCTATCCCTTTGAGATGTATTTCTTTCTTATCTCAATAAACATACTTGAACTTGAACTAGCCAAAGATGGACTTTATTTAACTCAGTATTCACTGTGGCATTTAGAGCAAAGGGGGCAGGACTGGAGTAAATGCAGGTTGTGTCGTCAGCAAATATGGGGTTCATTACTACTCACAGAATGGGTATGGGGTTCATTACTACTCACGGAATGGGTATGGGGTTCATTACTACTCACGGAATGGGTATGGGGTTCATTACTACTCACGGAATGGGTATGGGGTTCATTACTACTCACGGAATGGGTATGGGGTTCATTACTACTCACGGAATGGGTATGGGGTTCATTACTACTCACGGAATGGGTATGGGGTTCATTACTACTCACAGAATGGGTATGGGGTTCATTACTACTCACGGAATGGGTATGGGGTTCATTACTACTCACGGAATGGGTATGGGGTTCATTACTACTCACGGAATGGGTATGGGGTTCATTACTACTCACGGAATGGGTATGGGGTTCATTACTACTCACGGAATGGGTATGGGGTTCATTACTACTCACGGAATGGGTATGGGGTTCATTACTACTCACGGAATGGGTATGGGGTTCATTACTACTCACGGAATGGGTATGGGGTTCATTACTACTCACGGAATGGGTATGGGGTTCATTACTACTCAGGGAATGGGTATGGGGTTCATTACTACTCACGGAATGGGTATGGGGTTCATTACTACTCACGGAATGGATATGGGGTTCATTACTACTCACGGAAGGGGTATGAGGTTCAATACTACCCACGGAATGGATATGGGGTTCATTACTACTCACGGAATGGGTATGGGGGTTCATTACTACTCACGGAATGGATATGAGGTTCATTACTACTCACGGAATGGGTATGGGGGTTCATTACTACTCACGGAATGGGTATGGGGTTCATTACTACTCACGGAATGGGTATGAGGTTCAATACTACCCACGGAATGGATATGGGGTTCATTACTACTCACGGAATGGGTATGGGGGTTCATTACTACTCACGGAATGGGTATGGGGTTCATTACTACTCACGGAATGGGTATGAGGTTCAATACTACCCACGGAATGGATATGGGGTTCATTACTACTCACGGAATGGGTATGGGGTTCATTACTACCCACGGAATGGATATGAGGTTCATTACTACTCACGGAATGGGTATGGGGGTTCATTACTACTCACGGAATGGGTATGGGGGTTCATTACTACCCACGGAATGGATATGAGGTTCATTACTACTCACGGAATGGGTATGGGGGTTCATTACTACCCACGGAATGGATATGAGGTTCATTACTACTCACGGAATGGGTATGGGGGTTCATTACTACCCACGGAATGGATATGAGGTTCATTACTACTCACGGAATTGATATGGGGTGCATAATAAATGGCCAAAATCAATCAAATGTCCCCGAAAATTGGAAACCGGAAACCATATTTTTCCTGTTTAAGCAATTACAAATAAAATAAAATTAATCAATTGCAAACTATTTGTTAAATGAATCAATATTAAAATTACTTATTAATTAATAATATTTATTCATTAATTCATAACAAGCAAATAAGAAAGTAACAATGGGTTATATAATTTTGTTATAATTTTGTTTAGGAATACGACGATATTCCAGATGGGCTTTACAATTTCATTTATATTTACAATTATGTAATTATTATATTGCATAATGAAATAAAGTGTTAAAACTGCTCTTAATAATTGTTGACATTATGGGAGTGAATCGAGATGGTTTGTTTGTTTACCTTGTGGAGGGACTCGGCCAGACGGCAGGTCAAGTCAGGCTCGCCCTTTGTGTTTTCTCAAGTTATTTCTCGAACCAGAAGGCCAAAGGAGACTTTTTTTCCCCTTTTATGATAAGGTAAGGCTGTGGTGGTAGAGGAGTGAGTGGTAGAGTGTGTTGGAGGTCAGCTATTGGCAGACCCAAAACTTGTAAGTGCTTTGGTTTCCGGGATTGGAAACCTGTTTGGCGTTTCATGGTCCCTCTCGCTTCCTTCCTGTAGCCAAAAACGGATTTTTGTCAGAATGCGACCAATAACAGTTAATTACCTCAAAGTTTCTTAATCAGTACTAGGTGGATAGAGGCATGGGGGGGGGGGTGTAGGCTAAGGAAATGTGCGCAAACATCTCTTCCTGCCGAAAGGTATAATCCAGGAGCCAGTCAGTTGTAAGCCTAATGCATTAACAATAATGCATTATTTTTTAATCTGGCCTGCTAAAGCACTTCCCGTTTTGTAACATATGTGCCACATTAGTGTTTTATTCTGAATGTTGACCACACCACACACTAGAAGGTGAAGGGACGACGACGTTTCGGTCCATCCTGGACCATTCTCAAGTCGAGAATGGTCCAGGACGGACCGAAACGTCGTCGTTCCTTCACCTTCTAGTGTGTGGTCTGGTCAACATACTTTAGCCACGTTATTGTGACTCATCGCCTGTTTATTCTGAATCGTCACAGTGTAGTTGGAACATGACCGTACCTGGTATGGGCATGTTTATAACTGACCAGTTACCTACTGTACACAAAGGTTTCATAATCTCATATACAGTGCTGTATTGATTAATTATACAATACTCTATTCATGGTTATTTACTCATCAATTTTAGTTGCATTACATATTTAGGAATATTTGTATTTCCTTGCATGATTTTACTTTGTGTAATAATTTTTTTTTTAAATTGTATGCAACATTTTGAATGAAATTCAGTAGTCATTCATTACCCCCTATAGTTACAATGGGAGAAGTACATCTTTCTGTTTTTGGTTCCATGACATTCTGTGATGATAAGGATAACCCACACTTTACTAAGCCAACACAAAGCTTAACACAGTGCTAATGCAGTACATAATTCTCTCTCCCCCTCTTCCAGAATAGTGGCATACTATTTTCACTTTGTAAGAGACAAAAGTTAGATTTTGTATATTTTGTGAGTGCTGAACAAGAAGAGATCTTGGGTTTCAGGTTTAACCCTTGCACTGCTCACCTATTTTCGGCAAAAACGTCTTGGTGCAATTGTCAAGGACATATTTTTGTTATTTTTACAAATGTTCAGGTAAATTTAATGTCAAAATGTTTCCAAAGTCAACTATTTCCATTTCAAAACACAAATAGTAATGAAAACATTAAAAAACATTAAAATATAGCCAAATTAAAAAACAAAAAGCACAACTCTCTGAGCGCCTAAAGGCGCTTTGCGCAGTGCAGTGGTTAATAGTACCCTGTACACTCAAGTAAGGGAGTATAGTGGACAAACTGCTGTCTAAGCATAAAACACTGGGGTAAAATTGCTGGGCTTTTGACACAGTTATTGACTTTCTTGGTGTATTAAAAACTAGTAATATTAGGATTCTTTAAGTATTTATGGTATAAATAGAAAGAGATGTTCTATATAATGACACTGAAATGGATGATGTACTGTAGGTATGTGCAAGACCCATGGATATACTGTCTCCACTCGATTATCCGGACTACATGGGAAGCACCCCCAGCCGGATAATCACCTGTTCCGGATAATGGTACTTTTTCACCTCCGAGTCCAAAAGTAACCATTTCCAATTATTTTTACACTACAAACAACATAATTTGAATTGCCTTGCCACATATAATTATTAAATATTTAACTAGAAACCTCAACTTACCTTGTTGTTGTTTGTCTTCTTGATTGATGCCACACATCTTGAAGTTAAGAATTCTTGACAATTTATGTAACCTAAACTAACACAACACTAAAATTAATACTTAAAATTACTGTACAGTTCATTAAGCAAAGTTAGTTTTGATTGCCAGCTGCTGAAGCCTTACTGGTTGAAGGCGCTTGGCTTGCCTGTGAGGCCTCACTGGTTGGAGGCGCTTGGCTTGCCTGTGAGGCCTCACTGGTTGGAGGCGCTTGGCTTGCCTGTGAGGCCTCACTGGTTGGAGGCGCTTGGCTTGCCTGTGAGGCCTCACTGGTTGGAGGCGCTTGGCTTGCCTGTGAGGCCTCACTGGTTGGAGGCGCTTGGCTTGCCTGTGAGGCCTCACTGGTTGGAGGCGCTTGGCTTGATTTTTGCACCATATAAGAATCAAGTGTAGCTTGCCTACACTTGATGCCTACAGCACGCGGGACTTGTGATCCTGTGGTCCTGGGTTCGATCCCAGGCGCCGGCGAGAAACAATGGGCAGAGTTTCTTTCACCCTATGCCCCTGTTACCTAGCAGTAAAATAGGTACCTGGGTGTTAGTCAGCTGTCACGGGCTGCTTCCTGGGGGTGGAGGCCTGGTCGAGGACCGGGCCGCGGGGACACTAAAGCCCCGAAATCATCTAAAAAGAGCACATAAAAAGAGTGCCTTCTGTGTTCATTAGCCAGTTGTATGATCAGCTCTTTGGTTCGCCTCAGGTACTGATACATGTTTCCAACTTCTGGATGAGCACAATTGGATGAAAAATTTATTAATCCGTCAACATAGGTCACGAGTACACTGTAATTCGTGGTCATTGGTGTTTTGTTCTCCTCATCCTCCTCATCTTCGTCGACCTCACCAGCAACAGACTGGAGAATCTCGTCTTCACTCATCACGCCATATCCTGGGTCATTGGCATCTTTTTCGAGCCAATCAACCACATCCTGGCTTTCTAAGTTTTTGCCGGCATTTCTGAACATTCCATGGATTTCATCTGTAAATCCTTCAAAATCCATTTCTTCATCCTCCTCATTTCTGACTGTAGATGTGAGAAGTTTTTTCCAGGAATTCTTCAAAGTTGATTCCTTTACGTTACTCCACACCTTGGTCCAGTTATAGATGGCTTCCTTGATTGTATAGTTTTTCAAATTCTCGAGTTTTTTTTTAGCCCTGTTATCCACACCGAGTTCAACATCTTCCGGAAGAGGCAAAACCACCAAAACTTCGTTGAGCATCCTTTTGGTGTACAACCTCTTTGTGGCACAGATAACTCCCTGATCCATAGGCTGGATGAGAGAGGTTGTATTAGGAGAAAGTGCCATACACGTTATCTTGCCATCATGTGAAGTTAACGTGTCAATTCTGGGGTGGGCAGGCGCATTATCAAGCAGCAGCAAAGCCCGAACTTTGCTTGGCCTTACTTTGAGTTTCTTAACTTAATAGTCACGAACTTCCCTGCAGAACACATCATGAAACCAGGAAAGAAAGATCTGTGTAAACCATGCATTCTTTGAGTTATAATATTTTACTGGCAGTCTGTCCAAGCAATGTTGCAAGGCTCTTGGTTTCTTTGATTTGCCAACAATTGCACACGTAATTCTGTCTGTGCCGTCGGCATTTGCACACATCATGGCCGACAGCCTGTCCTTGTTAACCTTACAGCCTGGCACACAACCCTCACTCCTCATAGCTAGAGTTTTTTCTGGTAAACTCCTCCAATACAGCCAAGTTTCATCAGCAATTTGATAAGAATATAAATTATTTGCCAAAATGTGTGTTCTTAATTTATGTTTAAATGGTTCTACCCTGCTTGTATCTGCACTCAATTTTTCACCGACAGTTTTCCTCTTCACAATATTGTGCCTACCTTTGAACCTTGCAACCCACTCTTCACTAGCTTGGAAATCCTCTATTCCAAGGCTTGCTGCAAACCTGCTTGCAGCATTTTGTATTTCTGGGCCGAGAATTGTCACATCAGCTATGTGGTGCTGAGCAAACCATTTGTACACAGCCTCGTCCAACTGTACATGCGTAGAATTTTTCAAAGTTTTTCTACCACACCCTCTGCTAGTGCTTGCACCTTCACTCTCACTGATTGAAATGTATTTCAGATATTTCTCTTTTTGTTTCCTTATATCAGAAACAGTATTAGTGCCTATATTTCTTGGCAACATGTGAAGTCGACCGGCCATTTTCACAAAGTTGTATAACACGTAACTTGTCCTTAATTGTTAGGACAACCTTCTTCCTTTTAACACCTCCAGAACGATTGATGCTGTTACCAGACATAATCTTGGCCAAAAATGTTCAAAATTCCTATGAAAATAAAAAAGTTATTTAAAAAATATTTCACTAATGGCGAGGCACTGTGGTATAACATGAGGGATGAGAGCACATGGCTCCCTGACCAGGCCTGGACTGGGTCCAGGCCTGGTCAGGGAGCCATGGAGGCAGGGGCAGGGAGGCACGTTATGTAGGCCGCTAGGAGGAAAAAAATCACAATATTTTTGAAGGCAACTTCAGCCTGTGCAAATTGTTTTTAGGAAACTTGTATAGTATTTTTTATTGCATAATTACTAATATTTCTTTTGTTTTTGGCTATGATGAATTGTTCTAAAATTAATGGTAATTCCTGTACTGTGGTGTATAGGCCGTTCCACATCCCCCTTATCCCCCCAGGTGGTCCCTTCCAACGCTACCCTCTCTCCCGACACGACCCCACCCACCCCACCCCCTCCTACACCATGCGCCTCGAGCCACAGCCGTACGGGATTAATACGGTACGGCCCGCGGCCTGGCTTTCGTATCCGGACAATTCACTGGTTGTCCGGCTGACTGTCTGGATATTGCAACATTAGCAGCAAGTTAACCGGCCCATATTTTTTATCCGGTCAAACGCCTGATTTTCCGACTCCTATGGACATTTTGGCAGGATATTGAGAACTTTATCCGGTCACGATTTTGGCTGTACAAGGGCTTTTTCTGGATATTCGAATCCCGGATAATCGAGTGTCTACAGTACAGTATTAAACAAAATCTTTCCTTGAGAGTTTGTGTGCACAAGTGTCCGGACACTGGGACATTTTATGTACTTCGTCTCTTTAGACAAATGGGCATTTTAATATTTTTCCACAATTTCCACACAGTTATAGCAGTGTTGTTCAGATAATTTCCATTTTTTTTCTTGTTGCCTGTGTCGTATTGATTTGCCAGTAAGGATATGTATAGTACTTGCTGGAGCAACATTTAGGCATTGTATCCTAAAATGCAAAGGTTTGGGTACTAAAACAATATGTTGCAAAGCTGATTATCGCCTTGCTTCCCTCTCTCTGGCCTAATAATGGCTTCTTTGTTGTGTCTCAATTTTGACATAAGGGGGCCCAGGATGGGCTGAAATGTTGTCACTTCTATTTCTTTTTATATGTGTGGGTTTGAATATTTGTAACCAGCCATACTATTATGACTTATTCTCTGCATATTTGGCTCTATATGGGCCAAGACTATGGTATGAACTAAGTTAAGGGGGCGTCAGAGGATTATAGATGAAAGTTGTTCAATGTCAACCAATATTAATTTTCTAGTTGTATATGAAAAGTGCTTAAATTGTCCCAAGTTTCAGTACTGCAGCGTAAATAGAAAGGGAGTTTTTTTTTTTTTTTCCTCAACGTTTTTTACACATTTTCAAGTCCACACTTCAGAACACACGTTTCAGATATAATTATTCTGTGACACTTTTCTGACACATTAGCATATAATAAAGGATTTGGGGCTTTAGAATTTCCAAAACATCTTTAGTTTTCCTAATACAAATGTTCAAAGTTCCCCCAAATTTTTTTGCAAATATGGCATGTTTATTGCTATTATAAAATCAATAAATGAACTTATAGAAAAATGAAAGCCCCCCAATGTAGAGACATGCCCTCCGCATATACTGTGTAAGTTTCATGTAAATTGAATAAAATGGGAATCAGTTTTGTAAACGTTTGTGTCAATTGAAAAAAAAACAAATGAATAAAGTCTAAGGTTCTAAAATCTGTGGCTGAGGTTGACATCAATAAATTTTCTCCAAAATTGGCATCCTTACAGATAGGCTTACGTACAGTCAGGTGTGTAAGTTTGCTGCAAATCGCCCGAAAAAAAAGAAAAAAAAAATATTAAAAAAGAAAAGAAAAAATCCTTTTTTTTTTTTCCTAATTTTTTTCCAATTAAACTAATTATAATATTTGTTTAATATATGCTATTGTGATAGCAAAGAGTCGTAGCTATGATTTCAGTTGACACTTTTTATTGATAATCGATTTTGATCATTTTTGCATAATTTTCACAACTACTTCAATATTTTTTTTCTCCCTTCCTATTTATGCTACGATGCTGAAACTTGGACCAGATGAAACACTTTTCATATAGAACTTGTCAAAAAAGTTTGATTGAAATCGAACGAGTTTTCATTTTTTCATTTTTGGACCCAGATGCCAACCAGACGCCCCCTTAATAGCCAGCTTAACATAACAAATCTGCAGGATGCCTTCCTTCAGTGACTAGCCTATATTACAATTAAATTTGTCGAGTGATTGTGTTTGCAATTACTGTATGTCATCCAAGTTTTGAGGAGTTTCAACACACTAATAGTGTAGTATGTTTTTAATGAAGATCATGAGGGATAATTGGAATTTAATAGACTATCTTTCCCCCCAAAATCCCCCCACCGCCACCAAATCCCAGTGTAAATCCCCCACCATTCCCGGTGTAAATCCCCCACCATTCCCGACATAAATCCCCCACCATTCCCGGCATAAATCCCTCCACCGTCACCATTCTCGGCGTAAATCCCTCCACCGTCACCATTCCCGGCGTAAATCCCCCCCCGTCACAATTCCCGGCGTAAATCCCCCACCGTCACCATTCCCGGCGTAAATCCCCCCACCGTCACCATTCCCGGCGTAAATCCCCCCCACCGTCACCATTCCCGGCGTAAATCCCCCCACCGTCACCATTCCCGGCGTAAATCCCCCACCGTCACCATTCCCGGCGTAAATCCCCTCACCGTCACCATTCCCGGCGTAAATCCCCTCACCGTCACCATTCTCGGCGTAAATCCTCCCCACCATTCCCGGCGTAAATCCCCCCACCATTCCCGGCGTAAATCCCTCCACCGTCACCATTCCCGGCGTAAATCCCGCACCGTCACCATTCCCGGCGTAAATCCCGCACCGTCACCATTCCCGGCGTAAATCCCGCACCGTCACCATTCCCGGCGTAAATCCCGCTCCGTCACCATTCCCGGCGTAAATCCCCCCACCGTCACCATTCCCGGCGTAAATCCCGGTCCGTCACCATTCCCGGCGTAAATCCCCCCACCGTCACCATTCCCGGCGTAAATCCCCCCCACCGTCACCATTCCCGGCGTAAATCCCCCCACCGTCACCATTCCCGGCGTAAATCCCCCCCACCGTCACCATTCCCGATGTGGAATACATTTATATATAAATAAATAGGCACGCTGAGAGATGACTATCAGCATCAAAGGCCCAAAACTATTCAACACTTCCTCTATTAAGGGGCATAACTGGCCGGCCTGTCAAGAGAGAACTCGATAAACGCCTCCAAAGGATTCCTGATCAACCAGGCTGTGATTCATACATCGGGATGCAAGCAGCCGCGTCCAGCAGTCTAGTTGACCAGACCACCAACCAGGAAGCCTGGTCAGAGACTGGGCCGCTGATCCTAGGAATCACAAGGTAAGGTAATGATAGTGTGTGTGTACATGCAGTATAGTCAGTAGGGAACATGAGAGAGCGTGTGTGTACATGCAGTATAGTCAGCAGGGAACATGAGAGAGCGTGTGTGTACATGCAGTAGTCAGCAGGGAACATGAGAGCGTGTGTGTACATGCAGTATAGTCAGCAGGGAACATGAGAGAGCGTGTGTGTACATGCAGTAGTCAGTAGGGAACATGAGAGCGTGTGTACATGCAGTATAGTCAGTAGGGAACATGAGAGCGTGTGTGTACATGCAGTATAGTCAGCAGGGAACATGAGAGCGTGTGTACATGCAGTATAGTCAGCAGGGAACATGAGAGCGTGTGTGTACATGCAGTAGTCAGTAGGGAACATGAGAGCGTGTGTGTACATGCAGTATAGTCAGCAGGGAACATGAGAGCGTGTGTGTACATGCAGTATAGTCAGCAGGGAACATGAGAGCGTGTACACATGCAGTATAGTCAGCAGGGAACATGAGAGCGTGTGTGTACATGCAGTAGTCAGTAGGGAAGATAAGCGAGAGGGGTTACCTTGGCGGGGAGCTGCCTCTCTCACTGTCTCAGTTGACATACAGGTGTGAGTGTGGCTGGGAGGGGCTGTGTTGCCTCTTGCACCGCGCCGTCTCTCCACGCTCGGAACCAAGTGTGTAAATAATGTGATGACAAAGGTGTAACAGTCCTCTTTAATGCTTGGCATTACATCAGTGTCGTGTACAACATCTGTCGAGTGCAATCTGGAAGAGTACATGTGGTAATGGTTGCAATTGGCACTTTTTTTGGCGTTATGATTTCAGCGTTCATAAGAGGCTGAAGTATAGCGGGTCTCGAGTTATGAATGTGAAGGCGAGTTAGGCTAGGCTTCCGAGGGGGTGGTAGGGAGGGGTGGGTGTTTCAGTTAGGTGACGTCACGCCAGGTTTCCCAGAAGGGGTGTTTCAGTTAGGTGACGTCACGCCAGGTTTCCCAGAAGGGGTGTTTCAGTTAGGTAACGTCACGCCAGGTTTCCCAGAAGGGGTGTTTCAGTTAGGTGACGTCACTTTAGGTTTCCAGGGAGGGAGGGGGGGGGGGGTGTTCAATGAGGTGACGTCATGGACTGGAATAACCCATGGCCACGATCTTGAGGCTGTGAACAAAAAACTTCCTCTGTACTGTTTAAGTCGCATTGTCCCCCACACAACTTGGCCGAGCTGCTTTTGGTAGAATGATCCGAGTTTCATGTTGATGTAAAATAAATTTGTATCTCGATTCCCTTAAACCAGTGTCACATGATTAAGTGACTGCACCAGATCTCCTTCCTTGTAAATGATGAACTTGTGTGGCCTGTTCCCGTCACTTGGACTATATATACAGTTGGTAAAGCGACAGCTTCGACCACCGCTCCCGTGCCAGGTAAGTCCACTACGGGCTCACCATAGCCCGTGCTACATGGAACTTATTCCGAGTAGCTGAATCTATAACAACAATAACAGCGACAGCTTCGCTGCTTGTAGACTTGATGTTCGATTCCCAGATGGCAAAGTGGTTGTAATGGGCACTTTACGAAAACTTGAAGGTTAATAGTTTACACACACACACGCACAGGGGTCTGGTAGCTGAGTGGACAGTGCGCGGGACTCGTAATCATGCTGCCCGGGTTCGATTCCCGGCCCCGGCAGAGACAAATGGGCAGAGTTTCTTTCACCCTGATGCTCCTGTTACCTAGCAGTAAATAAGTACCTAGGAGTTACAGCTGTTACAGGCTGCTTTCTGTGTGTGTGTGGAGGGGGGGGGGCAAAAAATTAGTAGTTAGTAACAGTTGAGAGGCGGGCCGAAAGAGCAGAGCTCAACCCCCGCAAGCACAACTAGGTGAATACACAGTGGGGCCTGACAGCTGAGTGAACAGCGCTCTGGATTCGTGGTCCTAAGAGTCCGGGTTCGATTCCTGGGGGAATCGAACCCTGGACCACAGGATTACGTGTCTAGCGTGCTGTCCACTCAGCCACCGCCCCCTCCCCCGCCGAGTGTGTGTGTGTATGTAATATTATTTTTTAAAATATATAAATTTTAGAGCTGGGAGGACGGGACACCACAAGCATAGCTCTCATCCTGTAACTACACTTAGGTAATTACAGGTAATTACTGTACAAGTAATTAAGCGCGTGCGCACGCTCGTACAAAACAAGGCTGGGACGCCGGCCTTGTAAGCTAGGCATACCTGTAGCCATTATTGGGGAAATTTCGCGGGAAATTATCAAAGGAGATGATTGTGTGTGTGTCTGAGGGAAATGGACTTTTTTTTTTTTATTATTTTCTGCCACAGACGTGGCCACACATTTATAATGCTAACCAGCATATATACATTTTCTTCTGTCCTCCTTGGACAGGATGAGAGCTAGATTTGTCATTCAGTTCAGGGGTTGATTGTTCAATAAATCCCTGAAGATGATGGTAGTGCTTTTAAAATGCTAGGCTAAGCTACATACGTAAATACATAGATACACAGATTTGTGTGTGCTACATAAAGTGTTCGATGTGTCTTTTTACATAGTGTCATTAATGTGCAGGAAAGGGAGCGGATGCGCATATGCCTGCCTTTGGCGCGTTTTACAGTAAGGAGGCAGGCAGCTAGTTGTGTTGCGCGAAAAGTGTGTGTGTGTGTGTGTGTGTGTGTGTGTGTGTGTGTGTGTGTGTGTGTGTGTGTGTGTGTGTGTGTGTGTGTGTGTGTGTGTGTGAGAGAGAGAGAGAGTGGGGGTGAGAGAGCGGGTGAAAGAGTGGGTGAAAGAGTGGGTGTGAGAGTGTGCGCGCGCGCGCGATCGCCTAATTGTACTCTCCTAGTAGTGCTTGCGGGGGTTGAGCACTGGCTCTTTGGTCCCGCCTCTCAACCGTCAATCAACTGGTGTACAGGTTCCTGAGCCTATTGGCTCTATCATATCTACACTGAAACTGGGTATGGAGTCAGCCTCCACCACATCACTTCCTAATGCATTCCATTTGTCAACCACTCTGACACTAAAAAAGTTCTTTCTAATATCTCTGTGGCTCATTTGGGCACTCAGTTTCCACCTGTGTCCCCTTGTTCGCGTCCCACCAGTGTTAAATAGCCTGTTTTTATCTACCCTATCAATGTGTGTGCGTGCGTGCGTGTGCGTGTGTGTGAGGAGCAGGTTGAGTAATGGCGTGAGCTGCAAGGTTACTGGAAACGGGGGTGGTGTTGACTGGCCATCTGGGGCGGCCTGGATGTGCTCCACTGGCTGGCTGACTTTGGTTATCTGCTTGTGTTTGCATTGAAATGTTGATTGAGGTATAAATACACTCAAACGGACGAGATAGCTAAAGCTATTCTCACCTCGTTCAGTACGTGTTCATTATATATATATATATATATATATATATATATATATATATATATATATATATATATATATATAATATATATATAATATATATATAAATATATATATATATATATAATATATATAATGGGTTTATTTGGCTCTGGCATATTTGCTGTGGTTCTCTATAGTTACTAGATGTGGTTGTCTGGTACTTATTAGATTGTTGTTGTCTGGTTATTAAGCTAGTAATGGTTGTCTGGTTATTAGGCCTTATAACAAGCCCATAAATTCTATGTGGAGATGTTGCTACTAGTATCATGTACCTGGTTACTAGGCTTAGTGTAGTTGGCTGATTACTGGGTTGTTGTTACTAGTCTAATTGTGGGTTAGCTAATCACTAGGCTAGTTATGGTTGTTTGGTTGATTACTAGGCTAGTTGTGGTTGTCTGGTTGATTACCAGGCTAGTTGTGGTTGATTACTAGACTAGTTGTGGTTGGTTGATTACTAGGCTAGTTGTGGTTGGTTGATTACTAGGCTAGTTGTGGTTGTTTGGTTGATGACTAGGCTAGTTGTGGTTGTCTGGTTGATGACTAGGCTAGTTGTGGTTGTCTGGTTGATGACTAGGCTAGTTGTGGTTGTCTGGTTGATGACTAGGCTAGTTGTGGTTGTCTGGTTGATGACTAGGCTAGTTGTGGTTGTCTGGTTGATGACTAGGCTAGTTGTGGTTGTCTGGTTGATGACTAGGCTAGTTGTGGTTGTCTGGTTGATTACCAGGCTAGTTGTGGTTGTCTGGTTGATGACTAGGCTAGTTGTGGTTGTCTGGTTGATGACCAGGCTAGTTGTGGTTGTCTGGTTGATGACTAGGCTAGTTGTGGTTGTCTGGTTGATTACCAGGCTAGTTGTGGTTGTCTGGTTGATGACTAGGCTAGTTGTGGTTGTCTGGTTGATGACGAGGCTAGTTGTGGTTGTCTGGTTGATGACTAGGCTAGTTGTGGTTGTCTGGTTGATGGCTCGGCCAGTGGCGGCCGTCTGGTTGATGGCTCGGCCAGTGGCGGCCGTCTGGTTGATGGCTCGGCCAGTGGCGGCCGTCTGGTTGATGGCTCGGCCAGTGGCGGCCGTCTGGTTGATGGCTCGGCCAGTGGCGGCCGTCTGGTTGATGGCTCGGCCAGGGGCGGCCGTCTGGTTGATGGCTCGGCCAGGGGCGGCCGTCTGGTTGATGGCTCGGCCAGGGGCGGCCGTCTGGTTGATGGCTCGGCCAGGGGCGGCCGTCTGGTTACTGCACTAGTTGGGGTTGTGAGGGTGATTATAGGTGTGTTGTTACAATGCTTGTTGTCATTACTAGGTTGCTTAGGAGGGGAGGAGTTGTCTGGCTGGTTACTATGCTAGTTGTGGTTGGCTGGTTACTAGGCTAGTTGTGGTTGGCTGGTTACTAGGCTAGTTGTGGTTGGCTGGTTACTAGGCTAGTTGTGGTTGGCTGGTTACTAGGCTAGTTGTGGTTGGCTGGTTACTAGGCTAGTTGTGGTTGGCTGGTTACTAGGCTAGTTATCATCAGGCTGGTTACTAGTTATGGTCGTTTGGTCTTCAAGTTTTTGAAACCCATGATGTATCTGGAAAAAGATTCGAAACATGAGTCACCTAAAGGAATGCTTTGTAAAAGCACATTTTGTTACACGTTTTCATTTCCAATTTTATGGAGTGTTTTGACCACGTAGTGGTATTTGGCTATGCTGTGTTTGAGTTCCTAATAAATCACAGGAAAAAAGTTATTTTAATACAGTTTTTAGTTTTTTTTATCAATAACAGTAAAAAATTGTTAATTTTGTTGGGACAGGCAACCTGTGTATATGTATACATTAGGTCCAGCTACTGACTCTGCCCGAGGATGTAAGTTTACAAATTTCTGGGTACTAATTTACTGCTAGATGAACAGAGGTGTTAGTTGATAGGAATCGTGCCCAACCATTTCTGCCCTGCCTGGGATTTCTGATTGAGAGTCAATAACGAACCCAGCTGTACCTCTGTGTATAGGTTTTGTGGGCTGTCTAGCATTGCATATTTGCATCCGGTTTGGAAAAGATAAGTACGAATATTGTACATATTATATATAGTGATATTAATATAATATAAGGCTATGCTTTGCAGCCCATCTGTGTCCAGATCCTAATTAAAATTCAGTGGTACCTCAGCTTACGAATTTAATCTGTTCCCAGAGACGGTTCGTAACCCAAAAACTCGTAAACCGAAGGGAATCTTTCCATAAGAAATAATGTAAATTGAATTAATCCATTCCACACTCCCAAAAATATTTACTTCAAAGCAAATTTTATACCTAATTTACCCAAATCTTTAGTACTAAAGTATGTACAAGTTATTGCTTACCTTTATTGGTGACTCTTGTTGGCGTATGGAAGGCGGTGAGGAGGGGGAGAAGGAGAAGAGGTGTTAGTGTTTGGAAGGGAAGTCCCCCTTCCATTATAACATCAGGCAGTGATGACTTCTCTGGGGCCAGAGAAGTCATCACTGCTTACCAGCTTATCACTGTACGGCCAGAGTACATCACTGTACTCTCTCTCCCACGTTTTGCAGGAGTTACACTAGGACTTGGTTGTGGCTTGCTGCATGCTTGTCTTACTAAGAATCTGTCTAAAGACACTTGTTTTCCCCTACATTTTAACACTTGTCTGTAGCGAGACATCTCATTGTCATTTAAAAGGTCAATGCAAGGGCTTGCTACAGCTTTATCTGGGTGAGTTTTTTTTAACAAAACTTTGCAGTTCTTCCCATACTTCTACATTTTCTTAGGTTGAACCTTACCATCGACTTTCTTGGGACCCATGGCGAGATATACAATACAGTACAGTAATTACTTTTATGTTCAAATACTGTACCCAAAAATCACTGAAAATAAATAAATAAATAAATAAAGGTTGAAACAATTTAAAAAATGGACAAATGCCATAAAGGTTTGTTCAGTGTTTGATGGGTAGGCTGCTCCATTATAACAATCTTTGTTTCAAATGTGTTCCATTTGTTTTGTATTTTTCATTTACGGCTCAATAATGGAGCAGCCTACTCGACAAACACTGAACGAACCTTTATGGCATTTGTCCATTTTTCAAATTGTTTCAATTGTTTTTTTTTTTATTTTTCGTTTTTTTTTTATTTAAGAAACATGGAACAGCCTACCTGTAGACCACCGAATAAACCTTTTTGACATTTGTTCTGGTTTTCAAAATTCTTAATTTTTTTATTTTCGTATTTTTTTTTTTATTTAAAAAACATGGAGCAGCCTACCTGCCGACCACTGAACGAACCTTTTGCTATAAGACAAATGAAAAATAAATATTGAACAAATTTGAAGAAAGAAAAATGTCATTAAGGTTTGTGCAGTGTTTGTCGGGTAGGCTGCTCCATTATTGAGACATAAATGACAAATACAAAACATATGGAACAAATTTGAAACAAAGAAAGATTGTTATAATGGAGCAGCCTACCTGCCAAAAGCCGAAAGAACCTTTTTGACATTTGTTGTATTTTAGAAATTTCATTTCTTTTTTCCTACAAAAATGTTAATGCTCTGCAACATCTCAGCAGGCACCCGTTTATATCCCAGCATCATTAGCACCTTTAAACAAGAACAACATAAGTTATTTGCATTGACGGAAGCATCCGAGAATGTGCAAGAAGCAGCGCGACCCCATCATGTGGTGTCGTCATTATTCAAACGAGGGTTTGCCATACAAGACGAATTGTCGCCGATTGGGCTGGTTGTTACTCGATATGTTCTCCATTTGAGGCGTTCGTTATTCGAGGTACCACTGTACAGTACTTGTGAAATTTCCATGCAAATGTGCAGTATGTCTTGTAGTTGAAGACCGGTACTAGATTTCTGGAACGTTTTGTGACGATGCTCTGTATGTCACTATTTTGTGTGATATCTATGCCAGTATTGCATCTATAATGTAATTTTATAGAACAATATGACCTCTTTCACTTCATAATACATATAAATATTTTTTTAGTTCACCAAAAACATCAATAACTTTCTCAAGTCTCCAGAGGCTAGCATCTCTACCCCTACTGTATTATGAAAGTTATTTACTTAAATTGTGTATCTTATAATATATTTATTCTGTTCTATGATAAACTTAGGTTACCCTGCTTCATAAATGCAATGCATATCTGTTTTAATTTGGCCTACAGTTGGCTGTTGTACTTAGTCATGGTGTGTTGCAGGTGATGTGAGAATGACACGGAGCGGAGGGGCAGCGGTTGCCCCACGACCGCTCAACACTGTACAGTTCGAGCATCCATCGCACACAGGAACCTTGTTGTTTGGCCTTAATACTTTACGTTCCAAGGGCTTATTGCTCGATGTGACACTCATTGCTGGTGGCGAGGCTTTTCAGGTAAGTGCCCAAGGACGGAAGTTATTACTATTTTTAATTGTTGTAATGCCTACAGATTGCCTACAGATTCAAAATAGAGAACCGTGTTGAATATTGTTGTGTGCAAATGCAAAGTAGACCAAGTTTCTTGCTTTTGAGCCAATGTAATACATATTTTGTTTCATTGGAGAGAGAATTCTAGTGGATATTTGTACCGAACTTTAAAATGGTTTTATTATATTGTTTATAAAATAGAGATGATGATTATGTTTTGGAAATAATGTATACATAGTAGTAATGAAAGTATCTTATATTAGAGACAGAACTTCTAGAATAAAAATGGTTCTTCATTAGTAGAGATGGCAACTACCTGCATGTAAATATTGTACAGTACTTTAAATAAAGAACTGTGGAAAAAGTTTGAAAATTTGTATTGTAAATACAGTATAATGGGAAGCTGTTAGCTAATGGAAAGGAGCATGGGAATGTTGCAGAGACTGGCAGCAAGGCTGTTAGGAATGTTAGGGATAAGCTTGGGAAACTGATAGACCTAACTGGTGTATATTATATAAGTTCAAGTAAGTCTATTGAGGTAATAAAATATACAATACCTCAAAAGGATAGAGTACTTTAGGCCATTTCTACCCTTGTCTATTTAAGGTCCCTCAAAGGGCTCACAAATCCATACAGTACACAAATATTAATCTTATTTTACATTTAAACTTTCCAATAGTAATCACATGGTTAGTAATCACATGGCTATGATTACTTACTGGTTAGACTGCACTTGTCATTTCTTGTTTTGGAAAAAGCAGACTAAACAGAATGAAGCCATGAGAATAATTTTGGAGATGCCCAATGATTGAAAAATGAGGATGGAATTGAACTTAGAGTATTGGGGATAGACTTTCAGAGATGAATGTAGTTTTGGCAATTAGGTTAATGAGAGGCAGAGGATCTGATGAATTAATCCACTCGCTTCAAAAGGTGGGTAGAAATGAACAATGCATGTTGAAGTATAATAAGAGGGCGTATATGAGATCCTAATGATCTAATGTTACAAAAGTATGATGTCTTTCAAAAGTTTATTGCATTTCCAAAGAAACAATTAGCACCACCATGGGAGGAATGTATCGTAGATGTTGTAATTATTCCCTCTATTTTCTTCTATGACAAGTTTTCAGACATTTAATTTTGCCGCTGTCTGAGTATTCACTGAGAAGCAATAATGCCTTGGACACAGACTCCCAACATTTTAACACTGCTTCTTGCTCAACACTTGTGCACCCACTGCAGTCCAAGGTAGTTTGATTGTAGTTGTTAATTACCTTACCTTCATGGTAATTAACATCTTAATTAACATAGGTAATTAATATTACCTTAATGGTAATTAATGTTAACTGTCTTCAACTTTCCTTTGTGTAAGCCATTTCCTCTTAGCATTTGTTTCAAAATTTTGCACCACATAGGGTTGAACACTGCCATCATTAGTGGATTGTTCATTTTCCCGAGACTCTTCCATCAGTGATACTCCATCCTCTTCCTTACTGTCTTCCCCCTCCACTTCATTCTCCTCCCCACTACACTTTACACCTCATCTGTTTGCCATATCTAATTTTTTGAGAGCTTCAACCCTCTTATCCATCTTACTAAGGTATTTCAAGATCTGTGTACCAACCTCAGAATTCACAATACTGCCCTGCACCTCCTCACCACAAGGGTACACTTTTTCTACCTTGTTTCCTACTACCACTAGGCTAGTCTTAATCATTGCTGTTCCTTTCTCCCAGACATTGTACAAGAGTACAAGAATGTAACAGCTCTTGTATATATAAATACCAAAAAACAAAAACTAAAAAAAAAAAAAAAATGGTCACTGACTATTGTTGTCTCTCCACGGTTTCTTTCTTGTTCCTGCTGTACAGGCTTGCCTTCCTTCGGGGCTTCCTTTACCCTACTTGTAAATACTGGGTTAGAATCTCGCATATGGCTTCAAGGAATCCACCAGCATTGTGGATTCCTCGACAATTGCAGCAAGAACTCAAGAATTTTTCTCCTTTTCAATGATGACTACACTCTAATGAGGCATGCTTTTTACCACAGTACCAACATCTGGGGTCACACTGGCATTTCCAAGCCAAATGTTTCCAATGAGAACACTTTATGCATAGTGTGGGCTCCTCAATATATTTTGCCACTTTTCTGTATCCAAGTCCTTGCACAAAAAGTCTTTCTGGAGCCTCACCCTTTAACAAGGCAACAATCTGTCTTTGATTTTCACTATGTACAATGTTCTTCTTAGCTCACACAACACTTTCATTGTTGAGATGAAGAAATTCAGGATCCAAGTACTGTATATAGGGTACTTAAAACAATAACCTTAGTGTAAATTATTCCTTACTTCAGGAGTAACCAAAACAGTATTCTTAAATTCGTTAGGTATTCCACTGCCTCTTCTGTTTTTAGCCTATTTCTATAAAACATAGGCTAAAGTGGAGAGAATCCAGTTATTTGAAAATCTGATGCATGAAAATTATAAAAGAGTAAGGATGTGATCATGACAGCTGTGAAATGAGTGTAAGATAGAATACAATAAGAAGAGGACCTGTACACAAAGGACAACTTGTTGAATTCAGATGCACGTTCATGGCCTTGAAGCAAGTACTGTAAGCAACTCGACTCGGACCACATGTGACTGATGGCAAGAAAATAGAAACTTGTGTTAGTGGAATGGGGTGGGTATTGATACCAGGCAACAAATAGGGACACAGAAGTGCACCCATAGGAAGTAAAAGTGGTTTCCAACTTGTATCAGGATGAGAGATATAAGTGAACATGTCTTATGGAGCAACAAACCCTTGAATCTATAAATTAAACCCTAAAGAAGGTCAAAGGGTAACCACAAACCCTTCTCCAGCAATCCCCAAGACCCTGTGACCGTCATCCTCCCAGAGAAGGAAGGACCAAGTTGGGAACCACCATCCTCTTTGGAACCTGGTGCCTCAATAGAGGAAACAGACAGGAAACCAAACAGGAAGAGTAAGGCATCCTTGCTAACCTCCAACCCATTCTCTGAGGGAACAGTCCCCTAATGCCATCTCTACAGGGACCATTGCTGGTGGATTCAGCAACTTAACTGCAGGCCAAGTTTACTGGAGCCATGGCCATCCTAAAAGGCATGTTTTCTCAAGAGAACATAATAAACAACTGATAATTGAAGGCAATTGCAGTATGTGAGAGGCAGGGTAATGGGCAATGCAAACACATAGGCGTGAGTTTTATGGAGAGAGAATACTCTTCATAAACTGTGGTGCTGCCAACAGATAACAAAATTAGCCAATGTTGACAAGGAAGGGTTGGCGAGTGAACCTACAGCCTGAAATAGCTGAGCAGCCTGAACTAATGAAGGAAATTAAAACATTAAGCCAACCAAAACTGACCAACTAGCCAATCATTGACAGAAATGGCAGAGGAAGCTGGCTGATATGTAGAGCAAACTTTGAAGAGGAGACATTTGTAAACATCCTCATAAAACAGCAGGGGGATCAGTATTGGCTATACAGTACTGTATATTAAAGCCTAGTCCTGTAGAGTGACTGCAGTCCAATTGGCAGCTAGTCCGGAGCTGAAGTTGGGCACCAGTAAATGGCACACACACCTGCAGGTGAAAAGATCCCAGAACAACAAAGCACATGCTTAAAACTGCAAACTGGAGAGTCTAGTACAAAATCAGAAGGGTAAGTCCCATCAGCCTAGCTGAAGAAAACAAATTCCTACAGAGATAAGGGACTTTTGTCAGTAGCAGGGGAAAGTGTCTTGGGGAATGAAATGCAGAACTCTCGACCTCAAGCCCTTGGCAAGGGAGGGTAAAACAGACATAGATCATGAAAAATCATGTGTGTAGTCCTCAGCTAAAGTGCAAGGGGGCCCCAAACACACGCACAAGCAGGGCCAGCACAATAGGCAGGTATTGAATGCGCACAAAAGCACCCATCAAGGGGCTTGTATGTGAAAATGAAATCTTGGTCTACCCAGAAGCGAGGTGGCTCAAGAGTAGTCAGCACACAGATGTGGTAGGCTGTGATCCCTCAGTAGCAGGTATTCCTTGTGGGGCATAGATTAAATGTAAGCAGACCCTAGGGGAAGATAACCATAGTCATGGGAGGAGCAGAATAGAAGGCTAGGACACATGTAGTTTAGGTGACATGAACACAATCATGAAACATAAGTTAAAATAAACACAGTTATGACCTCCAGCAGAACAAATGTTCCAGTTAAAGTCAACATCACATAGCAAAGTAGGATGCTGGTGACTGGACCTCCAAAAACCAACATGTGACTCTGTGACACCAGGCAGAAGTATGTTGTGGGGGGGAGGAGGATGGGCCAGGCTGGCCAAGACCTCGGGTGATCCGGGATGCCATCTAGTGGCAATCGAATGCATCACAGTTAGGGGTAGTTATGCTGCAGCAATGATCATTTACTTTATTTATGAGGGGGTGCATATATACCAAAACATAAGGGGTGCCTAATTTCCTTCAAGCATTTGTTGCATGATCTGCTGTCTGGTGATTCTTTTTTTCCCAAAGTTTTGTGGATGGTCTCAAATCACCTAATCCCCCTTCCCTTATAGTGAGTCACATTCACTATAAGGGAAGGGGGGATAAGGCGATCTCCCAAGAGGCGATGCATAGATGTCGGAAGCCTATTGTGTGGGCCAAGGTTTAGTGATAATAGGGGTAAGCTCAGGAAGCTATTAAATAAATCCAATAAATAAGGGCGAATATAGAAAGGTAAGAATTATAGAGGTGCTTATTAAGTGTGTGTAGTATGCAAAGTATATGACAAAAATTGTGATAGTATGGTAAGGTAATTATGAGAAAAGAGCAGTATAGTAGTATGACTATATAGCACTACCATAGTGATCGGAAGACAGCACTAGAAATGACTTGGTAAAAGAAGAAGTTGGGTTCTATGTAAATCGGGTACAGTAGTTGATTGAGGTCACTAGACTAGTGAAGAATGCTTGTGAGAGATTGTAGGGCTTATAGGGTGCACACATATAGTTTTGGAGAAAACATAAGTAAGAGAGAAGAACTCTTGGAGGGTGAAGAACATATCTGTAGTTAGAACATGTCTGTAGTTGGAGTTAGGTTGCTAAATGCTGTGATATTTACAGGTGTTTAATGTCCATGGGTATTCTGTGTGCTTACCTATCAGTGATTATGGGGAAGTGAGATCTAGCTCTTTATGCCCTGCCTCCGAACTCCATTTATATATAATGCGTTAATTACCTCTCAACATTAACATTTTATATTTTTTCTTAGAGTTGTGGATGACATTGGCTTTAACCTCTTTTTTCAATGCATTCTACTTGCCGACCACCTGTACCGAGAATGAGAGTTTCACATTTCTTTGCCTCAGTTGTGTACTCACCTAGTTGTACTCACCTAGTAGTGCTTGCGGGGGTTGAGCTCTGGCTCTTTGGTCCTGCCTCTCAACTGTCGATCAACTGGTGTACAGATTCCTGAGCCTACTGAGCTCTATCATCTCTACATTTGAAACTGTGTATGGAGTCAGCCTCTATTACATCACTGCCTAATGCATTCTATCTGTTAACTACTCTGACACTGAAAAAGTTCTTTCTAACATCCCTGTGGCTCATTTGGGTACTCAGTTTCCACTTGTGTCCCCCTTGTTCGCATACCACCTGTGTTAAACAGTTTATCTTTATTTATGTGTATCTGGCTTCCACTGATATCTCCTTTTCCTACCTTCTTTTAAATTTAAATAGACTTCCATTCTCTACCTTATCTGTTCTCCTCAAAGTCCTGTATGTAGTTATCCTCTATTTCTTCCCTCCTCTAAGGTTGTGATGGAGAGTTCTCTCAACCTGTCCTCATAGCTGAAGCCTCTCAGTTCTGGTACTAATTGAGTTGCAAACCTCTGAACTTCCTCAAGTTTCTGTTTATGCTTCACAAGGAGTAGGTTACATAATGGTGTTGCATACTCAAGTAATGTTCTTACATAGGCAGTGTGTATACTGTATATGGATGGGGAAATACAGAAGGTTACAGTAAGAATACTGTATTAGAAAGGGATTTAGTGTTTATTTATGTATTTATTTAGATTGTACAGTACTGTATATATATTATAATTATGACTTGCCAACATTGTTACAGGCTCATCGGGTTGTCCTAGCATCTTGCAGTGATTATTTCCGTGCCATGTTCACGGATGAAATGCGAGAACGCTGCCAATCCGAAATCTGTTTGAACGGTGTGAGTGCTGCTGGGTTGCAGTGCTTGCTGGAGTATGCGTACACCAGCCGTCTCTCTCTCAACCTGGCAAACATCCAGGATGTTCTGGCAGCAGCGGCCCATGTTCAGGTGCTCACCGTTGTTGAGGCTTGCTCCAATTATCTCCAGGTATGAATGGGGTTATGGTATAGTACTGTGTAGTGTTGAGGATAAAACAAATAATAACTTATGTTTATTCAACTGACTGTTACTGTCCCCCGTGTTGTATCTGTTGCTTTCATTCACACATCAGAGATAGAACATGTACAGTATTCATATTTTAACATCAAATACAGGTACTGTACATTGTATTTCTAAGATATTAGAAATACAATGAAATAGAAATATTAGTATTAGATATACTATTTCTAAGATGTTCCTACCCTTTCAGCGTTCTTAGTTGCTGAGGATTTGCACGCCTGTGGGCTTTTGGCTTCGGTCTTGCCCTTCTTTTCCCTTTTCGACCTGTCTTTCACCTGGCTTGTGGAGGCATTGAGTGCGGGCCTTCGTCTGGTGTGCTGGCCTCGGCGGCTTGGGCGTCGACCGTGCTGTTGGGGTGTGTCTGTTCTTCTTGCCTTGCGTGCCATCAGGCTGTGCTCGCTCTTTCTTTGGAATCCGCTTGGGTCCTGGCTCTTAGGTTTTTGTTGCTGTTTTGTCAGTTGCTGTTTGCGGAGTCTGCTGTCACGCAGTTTCTGCAGGCTTCTTCGTTTAGTTGTCGTCCTATGTCAGGCTTGTTGGTTCTCTGAAGGGGCCGTTCTCGGCCTTCTTGGAAGGATCGGCGCCAGGGCTCGGGGTTCTGCTGGTCCAGGTGTGCCTTTGGTGCCAGCTTTTCAGCTGATGTTGCCTTCGGAGCCGGCGTCATCTAGTTGGCACATTGATCGTTCTGTTCGTCAGTCAGCTATTAAGGGCCGATTTCCCTGTAAGGGAAATCAGCCCTTTTGTGGTTCGCCCTGTTGACGAGGCAATGGGGCGAGGCTCACTCTGTTTGCTCACGCTTGGTCCCATGATTTGTGGGCATTTTTGGTCGTGTCATCTAGCCTGTGGTGGCGTTGGGTGGATCCCCTTCCTTCTTCGGGGGGGTTCGGGGCTGACGGGGCAGACTTCTAACTTGCGCTTCGTCAGGTCATCTCGGAATGGGTGCTCTTGGGCGTGGTCGAAACGACTTCGTCTCTCAGATGGGTTTCTTGCCTGTTCCCAGTGCTGAAACAGGACTGCGGATCTGTGGTTCATTCTGGACATGTCCCGTCTGAACCCCTGGATTCCCTTGACCCTCCTCTCGGATGACCACTCTGTCTCAGGTCCGGCTTCTTTTGGAGCTGGGTGCCTGGATGGTGTCTCTGGACCTCAAGGACACGTATTGTCACTTTCCTTTTCATCTGGGGTTCAGGGACTGGCTAGGTTTTGTGGTGGAGCATCAGGCTTACTGCTTTTATTGCCTTCCTTTTGGCTTGAATCTGGCACTTCGCGTATTCACGCATCTTACCTGGGTCATGGTGGCCCGTGTGCATCTACTAGGGGTTCGGGTCCAGGCTTACCTCGACAACTGACTGATGTGGGCTCCCAGTCGGTCCGCTTGTCAGCTCACCAAGGGTGTGGTTCTTTCTCAGCTCATCGGGTTCCTGGTGAACTGGAGGAAGTCCCATCTGATTCCATCCCAGGTTCAAACCTGGCTGGGTCTTGTTTGGGACTCTCGGACTGCTTTCGTGTCTCTCTCTTCGGAGGCGTTGCTGAGGCTACCATCCTGCCTTCGGCTGTTTCTGGGGGAAGGGGGGGCCTGGGTCACTCGGCAGTTGCTCGAGTAGTTGTGCAGGGGAGTTTGAACTTCGCCGTGCTGGTCTACCCGCTGGGTTGGGTTTGGCTTTGGCGTCTGTTCTGGTTCTTCGGGAACGCCCCTTCTGCTTCTCTTGCGATCTCTGGGTTTCTACTCCGGGGGGCCTTGCATCGATTGCTGTATCGCCTGCTTCCTCTTTGGGGTTTCTGGGGTTTAGTGCCTTGGCGCCTACCCGAGTCCTCGCTCAATGTGTTTACGGATGCGTCATCTCTCGGCTGGGGCTTTGTGTCCAGAGCGCACCAGGCCAGCCAGGGACAATTGAGTCCGTCCTTCCGTCAGACTCGCAGCACAGTGCAGGAGTTCATAGCGGTTTGGCTGTCACTTCGGAGGGTTTGAGTCGCTCGGGGTTCGACCATCTGGCTCCATTCGGACTGTTCTCTGGTGGTTCTTTGTCTGAACTGCAGGGGTCCCCTTCGGTCCTTGCTTCTTTGGGGCTGGTCACTTTGAGTGGCTCGTCTGCTGGCTTCTCAGGGGTTGACTCTCTGCCTCGGTTCATTTCCCTGTCCACAGAATGTACGGTCGACATAGACTCCTTCAGTTGGATCTGCCAGACGTACGGACTCCTGTACATGGACCTCTTCGCATCGACGAGGTCTCTGTCTCCCGATCTGTGTGGCACCCTTCTCTGACTGCGAGACTTTTGCTGTGGACACCTTTCGGCCGGACTGGTTGAGGTGGGGTTACCTGTACCTCTTCTGACTCGGTTAGAGTCCTACCAAGGGAGAGTAGTCCTCGTGGCTCCTTGGTGGCTGGCCCAGCCTACCTTACCTTGAGGTTACCTTGAGGTGCTTCCGGGGCTTAGTGTCCCCGCGGCCCGGTTGTCGACCAGGCCTCCTGGTTGCTGGACTGATCAACCAGGCTGTTAGATGCGGCTGCTCGCAGCCTGACGTATGAGTCGCAGCCTGGTTGATCAGGTATCCTTTGGAGGTGCTTATCCAGTTCTCTCTTGAACACCGTGAGGGGTCGGCCAGTTATGCCCCTTATGTGTAGTGGAAGCGTATTGAACAGTCTCGGGCCTCTGATGTTGATAGAGTTCTCTCTCAGAGTACCTGTTGCACCTCTGCTTTTTAACGGGGGTATTCTGCACATCCTGCCATGCCTCCTGGTCTCATGTGATGTTATTTCTGTGTGCAGGTTTGGGACCAGCCCCTCAATTATTTTCCACGTGTAAATTATTATGTATCTCTCCCGCCTGCGCTCAAGGGAGTACAGATTTAGGCTCTTTAATCGGTCCCAGTAATTTAGATGTTTTACTGAGTGGATTCTAGCAGTAAAGGATCTCTGCACGCTCTCCAGGTCAGCAATTTCTCCAGCTTTGAAAGGGGCTGTCATTGTGCAGCAGTACTCCACTCTAGAGAGCACAAGCGTTTTGAAAAGTATCATCATCGGTATAGCATCTCTAGTGTGAAAAGTTCTTGTTATCCAACCTGTCATTTTTCTTGCAGTTGTGACGGCTACTTTATTGTGTTCTTTAAAGGTAAGGTCTTCCGACATGAGTACACCCAGATCCTTTACATTGCCTTTTCGTTCTATGTTATGATTTGCCTGAGTTTTGTACGTGGTTTCTGTTTTTATATTTACAATTTTTCCATAGCGCATGAGCTGGAACTTATCCTCGTTAAACACCATATTATTTTCTGTAGCCCATAGAAAGACCTGATCTACATCTGATTGGAGGTTTGCCGTGTCCTCTATGTTGCCAACTCTCGTGAAAATCCTAGTGTCATCTGCAAAGGATGATACAGTGCTATCATCAGTGCCTAGTTTCCAGGCGCTGCTATCATCAGTGCCTAGGTTCCAGGCGCTGCTATCATCAGTGCCTAGGTTCCAGGCTCTGCTTGCTCGGTGCGTGAACCTAGGGTGTTTTCCGCAGCTTCGCCTCTTCCAGCAGGTCGGACCGGTCTGGTACACAGCTGGTTCGGTCTTCTCCACTCTTCACGTCTGATCTTTTTGTGTCGGGTTTATCACCATTTGTATGGTGATCAGGTGGCTTCGTTGATGGTCTCCTACCTGAGAGCTTCGTCTTGGCGACAATATGAAGTCTTCTGGCATTCTTTCCACCATTTTCTCTCTTCGTAGGTTGTCTTCCGTTTCTGATCAGGTTGTCTTGTCCTTTCCGTCTTGGCTTTTAAGGGCTGTCATTTAATACCTAATACTGTTGCCTCATATTGTGCAGCATTGGTGGAGCTGCTCCAGCTTGGATTTAGGGTGGATGTCACTTCTGCCCGGTTCCGTAAGCTTTCTTGTCCTTTGTTTCGCCTCCTGCCGCCCGAGTCATCCTGGTCCTTGGTCAGGGTGCTCTTCTTTCTTTCCTCTTCTCAGTTTGTGGTGGCCCCTTCAGTTCAAGATTGTTTTGCCAAGGCTCTGTTTCTGTTGGCATTGGCCTCTGGGGGTCGGGTTGGTGAGCTACATGCTCTCCTCCAGCACAGGGGTTTCTACTCTTTCAGTCCTAGTGGTCGGTTTGTCTGGTTGCAGCCTTCTCCTTTTCTGGCGAAGAATGAGATGGATGCTTTCCGGAGGGGTCCTTGGGTCATTGATGCTAGGTTGGTCAGGCCGGGGGTGCATCATGTGTTGTTTTGGTTGCGGCTCTTCACTGTCATCTACGCGCTTTGGGTTGATCCGGTTTCCCTCATTCCCTGTTCCAGGGCTTGGGTCTCCCGGGTTGTCTGCAGAGTTGTCAAGTCTAGCCAGCCTGTGGTCTATCCTCGTGCCCATGACATTAGGAAGTTTGCTGCTTTGGCTGCCGTGTTTGGCAACATGTCTTGGGCTGATATTTGGGGGCAGTGATTTTGGAGATAGAACAGGGTCCTGGTCATCTATTATTTGGTTAACGTTCATGCTCCTAGGTGTTCCTGTGTTGCTTTGGGTCGCAGGTTGTAGCCAGTTGTCTCGACTTCGCGTTGAGGAGTGTGTGGCGGCCTTTGGTTATGTAGCTCCAGGGAACCGAAGGGGCTCCCCACAGAAAAGCAGCATTGCATGTAATGAAACACCATTTTCTGGGTGAGCCCCGGAGGCTTTCTGGCACCCTCCCTCCCTCTAGTTGGCGGATTTTCGCGTTGTTTAATGCTTGGCTTCTGAAATGGAGTGCTAGGTAGCCAGTGCAGGGAGGTTCGGGGGCTCCCCCCCCCATCCCCCCCCTCTCGGGGAGGGGAGGGGAGGGTCGTGCAAGCGAGCGGCACGGCAGTGGAGTGTGAAATTTGCTTGTTTCCTTGGGATTTGGAGGGAGTTTTACCTCTTCGTTTTTATGTTGTACATTTCTTACCATGTGGGGTTTTTGTTATGCCTACATTTCTGGGTGCTTAACCCCGTTCGATATAGATAAGGAAAACCCCCAACCACAGGAGGGGTTTTCCAGCACTTTTCCAGGGCCATTGCTCCCTGAAACCTCTCTGAGGGGGCCATGTTCTGGCCTGTGGTCCCCAGTAGGCAGAACTCCATAGACTAATGCCCCGGTCTAATATATCACATTAGCCCAATAGCTCTAGGGAGCCTCCAGGGCTCACCCAGAAATTGTCATTTCATTTCATTCAATGCCGTTTTTTTGGCTCTTGTTGTGCAACTATAACTGTTTCCTTCCTGGGGGGAAAAGTCCTCTAGTGATTAGTCCCCAGTGGCCTCCTTATCTATGATTTACACTTGCACTAGTTCTTTAGTTCTCTTCTGGGGTTACTTGTTCTTTGCCAAGTTGTATAGTGTTATAGTGCTCTCAGGGAAGTGTGTGTCAAGGTTTCTGCAGGTTGGCCTTACTGACATCATACTGTCCCTTTCTTCTCCCTCTGGTTGAGTGCTTATTTTTCCACTCCATTTACAGTACATGGTGGCCTTGCTATCTTTCCCCATTCCATGTGGGTCAGTTTTTCTTTTTAGTATGGAGATTGGTATGGTCTCGGTTTTTCCTTTGTTCACACTTTTGCAGTCGCTCTGTGTAGTGAAATGTTGCTTAGCCAGCTGCACTGTATTGTGTAATGGCTTGTTACCTCTGTTCCTTTGCAGACAGGCACACTTGTATGTATGCTGCTTGGCACTGTCCACTTGACAGACCTTTTCATCCCCCATCTGTGGTTCAGTCCCATTTTGCTCACTGCCCTTCTTTGTGTCCTGCCTCTCTTACCTCTTTATGATAGGGCCAAGTATCAAAGCTGTATTTGCTGGGTAGTCTTGTAACTCTTTTGTACTGTCTGTGATGGGCTGTCTGCCGTTTTATCTTCATCTATTGGGGCAAGGGTGTAGTCGCGCCTTTGCAGGCCCATTTTGGAGGTTTGATGTTCTTTCTCCAGGGGTCTGCTCGCGTTCCTTTCAGTAATTGACACTGCTGGAGGATTCTGCTTGTTGGCTGTGTTTCCATGGGATGGTTTAGTATTTTCTTCTGGTCTGTGCTGCCTTCTTGGGTACCTGTTTACCCATGCTGCATTTTCCAGTTCTTACTCTCCTTTGTGCTCCCCTGACATGCTTGGTTGTTAGTGGCCTTGTTTTATGTTTGTTGACATTCATAAAGTTTTCCTCCTCTGGCTGATGGTTTGTCATCCTGGGTTTTGAAGCATGTCTTGACCATGGAGCCTTTGGGCTGGGACCTTTTGCTAGTCTGCTGCCCACAGTTGGGTTCCGCATCCCCTCATGATTGTTGCCTCTTTGTCCAGGGCCATGTTTTTTGTTGGGTGGAGGCTTGTTCCTTTAATACTCTTTATGCTCTCCCAACTTGCCTCTAGGTGACCCATATGTGGCCTGCTGTCTCGCTGCTGTTTTTTGTCAATTTCCCTTCATTAAAATATTAATAAAATTGCCAGAATGTGAGAAAATACTGAATAAGGTGCACCTGGTTTAAACTGGTGGCATGCTGGAAACAAGCACTGAACTACAATGTAATAATTGGTTTATGGCAGATGTGTCCATATTTGATAGACATGTTTGATGTCCATGTTTGATGAACAATGTACATAAATACATTCCAGTTGTATACTGGAAATTTAAAGAATGGGCTAGAGGAAGGCTGTTGATAATTAGGATGCAACTCTTCAAATATGAGAAGTTTGTTCCATAACTTACAAGGAAGTTGTTGTTGAGAAGCAGTGTGACAAGAAGAAACTTGTTTTAAGAATTAGCCATGATAATTTCAGAAATATGTCGACTCTGAGATAAGATGTTATATATTTCTAGAATGATAGTGTGGAAGTAGGCTAATTAATTACAATTCGCACTGCAGTGTCACTAGATGGTCAGCTACACTCGCAATACAGTGCCACTTGAACAAATTCACAATGGCAGTGATGAGGGGTTCGAACCTACGTCCAGGACGATCCCAGATGCGTCTTGGTCGATTGCGCTACGACATGGTCAAAAGAATTGCAACCGGGAGTGCTACTGCCCTCGCACGGATCCCAGATTTGTTCATTTGATGTATCACGCTATTGGGATTTCTGTGTGTATACAGTGCCACTTGTTTCCTCTTCTGATTACAGTACTACTGGATGGACCTCTCAATGCTTTGAAGTCTCCGGGCAGAGGAAGGTTGCACTTCTCAGAGTAGAGGAGTTTCCAGTGAAGAGAGGCATCACAGATATGAAAGAGATAGGAATAAAATGCATTATGAAGCTGGTCAAAATAAAGAGTAATTTTTGTTGTAATGTTTTTTGAAACATGAATATTAACATGTTAGCACTTTCTCACCACACTTACTATTTCAGGCAGCTTGCAGGGATGTGGATATGGGTGGAAGTATGTTGTGATGGAGAAGTTTATTAGGAAAATTAGTTAATTTTAATATTTTTGTTGCAGGCTCAGCTTGACCTGGACAACTGTGTGGATATTGCCACCATTGCAGAGACATATTCTCTTCACAGACTGAGGAAGAGGGTATATGCCTTCATGAGTTCCCACCTTCATCAGTTCAGTAAAATGTCAGATTTTCAACGGCTGACGGTGGTACAGCTGTTGCATCTTCTGTCATGTGACTATCCTGTGGATTGTAGTGAAGCACAAGTGTTGTTGACTGTTGCTGGTTGGCTTCAGCACTGCCCATCAGATCGTGCCCGGCATGCTCCTGCCCTCCTGCATGCACTTAATTTACAGGAGGTTCCTGCTTCAGTTTTGGAGCGGGCAGCATGCCTCTCCATACTAGAGGAACCTATGAGAGCTGCACTACGTCGCATGGCCCTGCCTGTTTCACCAGCACCTCCAACTGGCCTTGTTAATTCAAGAGGGCTGGAATTGGCAGTAGTGAAGGTAGGCGGCTTCAGTATTGCTGGTATAACAAATGAGATTACTTACTTTTTACCTTCGGTTGGTCGTTGGCGTCACTTGACCACCATCCCGCATGTTGAACAGTGTAATTATGGTACAGCAGTGCTAAATAACCAGCTGTATGTCATTGGTGGCTGCTTCAATCAGTCACTACAGGAAAATATTCACCCGTTTGGGTTTAGATATAACCCTCAACAGAATAAGTGGAGTACCATGGCTCCAATGCAGCGTGAAAGATGCAGATTTTCCCTAAGTGTTCTTGGTGGGCAGCTGTATGCAGTAGGAGGAGCAAGCGAAGCCAGTGACGACGGTATTGCTGAAGATGAAAGTCTCTGTGAAGCTTATAACCCTGCAGCCGACACATGGACTCCTATTGCTGGCCTGCCTGGTACACGGGCACAACATGCAGCCGCTGCTCTTAATGGGTTGCTCTATGTCAGTGGTGGGTTAGAAGGTGATCAAGTTCTGGATTCTTGCCACGCATACAACCCAAGTACCGGTACGTGGGAGTCTCGTACCCCGCTCCTCACTCCGCGGGCAGATCATTACTGTGTTACATACTCCAACTGCATGTATATCTGTGGTGGATGGTATGAAGATGAAGCCACAAACACCAGAGTCTTAGTTGACACCATTGACTGCTACAACCCAATCACAGATAGCTGGTCAGTTGTAAGTCGTGTCCCCACCCCCCGTTATCATGCAGGAATTGTTGTAATAGGTTCTCAACTTTACGTAATTGGTGGATTTCATTCGGATGCTACATTTGACCGTGCAACGGGTGTAATAGAATGTTATGACTTGGATAATGGAGTATGGAATGTAGAAAATGCATATCCACAAGACATATGGGAACACGTTTGTGTTCCTTTGTATATCCCACGGTGCCGAGATGACATGGATGTTTTAGCTATATCTAAGTAATCGATTATATCAGTTGTAAAGATGGTACCATAGTTATATTTTATTATATTTTATATAAGATTATATTATGTTTCATAATTGCCTTGATGATATGCTTGTATTATGTACAATTTCAAATTTAATTTGACTTGAGTGTATATACTGTATGTGTGGGTGTGTGCGAGTATGTGCATGTCTGTGTACACGTGTACACACAATTTTTTTTTAAGAGAGAAATGTCAATTCTTTGTAGTTTCTGGAAGAGAACTTTGCTCACAGTAGCCCATCTTCATACTGTAATTTACAGTACAGTATTTCATTATAAGCATTTTTTAAACTTCTAGTGATTTTTATCACCCACTGCCCTCCCCTGAAATTTTGTGCTCGTCTACCAGTGTCTTAATTTATAAATAATTTCTGTTATTCTTTCCACACATTTTTCTGTAGTTCATAAATGTGGCCTCTTCTGCTTGATTTTGACTTGAAGGCCTCTTTTTTTTTTTTTTAGTGTGTAATTATAATGCCTCCTCATTTTTTCTCGTGTCTTCAAATTTGTTTATAATCAGCCAAGTGCTTTATGAACGCCTGTTATCCAAAAATGCCTGTTATCCGATTGGGGTTTGTTTGGATAAAAAAGTTTGGATAACTGGTGGGACAATCAGCAGTCTGAATAAAAATGTGCAATTAAGATGGAACAAGTTTGCCCAGTGACCGTACACAGCACCACTTGAGCAGTGTTTATATATTAATGGATGGTTCAGAAGCTTTCAACTCTGCCATGGCATTAGGTACATTAGAATAATGTACTTGTAATTTTCTTGGAGGGTAAAACGTAGTCTGCTGAGATTAACTCGTCACCCTTAATCTTCCCTTCAAACCAACACTTAACATTATCCACCACCACCTTTTCTTTCTAAACTTGAAGATTATAGTTGATGGAGCATTGTTAACAAGCAGCTCAGAACATATATTGGCGAGTACAAACAAAACATTGTTGAATTTCTGCAACAAAATTGTAAATTTCTCTTTCCCCCCCATTTCTCTCCCCCCCCCAGCTTTTCAGAATGACTAAGCACTTGAACACAACATGTTATCCATTCAGTCTCGGTACCGAGGGGTTCGGATAGCACATGGCTGACTGTATGTCCAAAACTCTTTAATGATTTCTCATACTCATTTAGTAATTCATATTTCTTATCTCTGGGATAAGGAGTTATTAAAAGTGCTGCACCATACTACAGCTGGTAGGTCAATACAAGTCATTTCTTTCCTCTATTTGCTATCTTAGAGTTTACAAAAATTGTAGTGGACACACACTTATCCTAAATTTTTATGTCATTTTCCTGTGATTATGTATCTTATTGCTGTACGTGTACTGCCAAGAACAATCTGTAATCCGTATAGGCTGTTCACATTTCTTTTTCATGACGTTCATTTACTGTACATTGAATTCAGTGTTTGTTTTTGTTCCATTCACTTAGTTTGTCCAAGTCTAATGGAAGGTTATTCAAATTGTTTGTTCTGCTTTGCAAAACCTTTTTTTTCCTCGCCTGTGAACATGTTCCGCTCATAATTGCAGCCAAAAGTGATAATGTACTTGTTTGACACTAACAGAGTTTTCTCTGTACAAGCCATTTTTTCTCTTATCACTGTTCTAATTTTTGCATTCCATATACAATATCTCATCACTTTAGTAATATGCTCTAAATGCTTCCTAGATTTGCTTAGTTTCCAAATTAAGTGTTGTTTGAGGAACTTTTTTTTTCAGAAGCCTTATTAAACTAAAATTACTGTAAATGCAATCCTCTTGGGTAATATTAGCGACTCTCTTGTAGAAACTACTGATTTGATATGCAGGATTTTTTTTATCTGAAGTAAAGTTCTTTACTAGTAAGCTCCTCTTCAAATCTTGTATTAACCTCCTCCTATTGACTTCAAAAACCTTCCAACTACAATTGTTAATAAAACAGGTCTGTTGATTGCTTGTGTGTGTGTGTGTTTTTATTTGTGTAAGACAGAAAGATGACGACAGATACACACATGATGAAATGATCATATGCTTTCTGGGCACAACTCATCCGAGATTCTCTCTCTCATTTTTGTGCAAAGTGTAAGTGATAAAGCATTATAGTATGTAATAGAAAGGCAGTGAGTGGAGCTAAGGTACAGAGTGTAGATAATGCAGTCCGAGCGTGTTAGAAGACTATAACACCAATGGCAGGCTGGCTGCTTATGGAAAAAGCCTGGAAATTTCATGTTGGTGAACATTCCTGAGTAGTTTTTATACTGATGGATGGTTCAGAAGCTTCAGAAAGTGCCATGGTATTACTGTAGGTACAGTATATTAGAATACCTGGCAAAAACAGTTAGCTGATGCTACTGGTGCAAAATTGATTTGTGTAAATTTGTAGAGGAGGTGCAGAATTAGAATTATTGCCTGAGCAAATTAATAATGCTGACAAAGTTTGTTCTGGCATATGTTAAATATATAATATGGCTCATGAAGGTGAAAGTGATCTTTCTGGTGAGTTATGAGGAGAATAAACCGACTATCTCTGTTGTGCTATTTAAAAGAAGCTGGCATACACTAATGTAAATTGCTTGTAAATGGGATTAACAAAATCCATTTCAAAGGGACACTGTGTGCATCTCTTGTTATTTATATGACCTAATAAAGTGGATGGCTGTTCAGAGTGATTCTACCTGAATGGTATAATAAGAACTTTGTTCCCTTGGTGAAGGAACATCCCAAAAGTGCTGACCTCCCAGATAACAGCAAAGTTGTGTTGCTTCTAGATACTCTTAATAGCACAACACACTCGCTACAGGATGAACTCGTATATGGCATTGGTTTCTGGGGCTAGTAAGGAGTCCGTGTTGGGGCAAGGTGTCCTTCAGCCATTCCTGGGCTCTGGTTCCCTTTGTGTTTTTTTCCCCTTCAGGATGAGATCTTCCCTATCCTCTGTTGTTGTTTCAAATTTATTCCTCCTTCCTCCTTATTCCTTTATTCCTCCTTGGGTACATTTCCAAGTTTTGTTAGAATCTTCAAATGCATATTATTTCAAAAGATTTCTGCTGTCCCACCTTCCATTGTGTTCTGCTCAGCTGGATCTGTTTTCATTTCTTCTGAGAGATCAGCACTTCACTTTCTTGTTGGACCTGGCTTCTTTTTAAGTGTGGGTTGGCTTTGGCCATTTGGTTGTGATTATGCAGTGCCTGATTCATCCTGGCTTACAGACAACCCATTACTTACTTCATAGCACATGGCCTGGCTTATCTGTACCCGGACACTTAAGGCTTGCCTGTTTCGTCCAGTCCTGCCCACGGATGTGGCCATATGGTAGCTCTTTGTATGGTTGCTTTTGCTTCTGGAGTCCCAGCTGCACAGATTTAAAGGTCTCCTGTTCATTCAGTTTCTGGGATGGGATTGAGCTGTTCTCTACCCTAGGAGCCGGTCGGCTGAGCGGACAGCACGCTGGACTGTGATCCTGTGGTCTTGGGTTCGATCTCGGGCGCCGGCGAGAAACAATGGGCAGAGTTTCTTTCACCCTATGCCCCTGTTACCTAGCAGTAAATAGGTACCTGGGTGTTAGTCAACTGTCACGGGCTGCTTCCTGGGGGTGGAGGCCTGGTCGAGGACCGGGCCGCGGGGACACTGAAAGCCCCGAAATCATCTCAAGATAACCTCAAGATATACCCAGCTCCAGGGCAGTTTGGATATTTTGGCTTCAGTGCATTTTTTGTGGTCATGTTGCCTGGTGTGCAGGTTTCAGAAACTACCCAAATTGCTCGCTCCCCTTCTTTAGAAAGTAGTTACGGACTTCTTTTCGGTTCGTCTAGTATGCTGGGATGAGACGTTTACCCACGTGCTTTCTATTCGGCTTGGTCCCTTATCCTCTTGTCCACTTGTCAGTTTTTTGTCCCTTCTTTTTCCTGAGCGGGCTGTCTGTTCTGTTGTTTCAGGTGCAACCGTTTCTTCCAGCACCTCGGTTTGGATCGTTCACTGCAGGTGTCTGTCCAAGTTGCTCGGGGGGTGGATCACTGCTTTTCTGTTCTTGCTTTTATGCTTTTCACATGTAGTTTCTTCCTCTGGTCTATCACCATCTGTACAGTGTGCAGGTGCCTGAGCTCATGGTTTCCTGGCACTCATTTTGTTTTTTTCATTTCCCTATTTCAATTTCAATGGTCCTATTCTTTTTGTTTTGGTTGTTTGTTGATTGACATATTTTGTCAAATACAGTATTGCTGCTTCTTATTGTTTGGCTTTGGCAGAGCTGCTCTTGTTGGCCTTCGATATTGATACTTATTCGCGGCACCATTTCATAAGTTATCTCTTGCATTTTGTCACATCCAGCCTGCTCACTCTCCTTCTGAACCATCTTAGTCTCGGGATTGGGTGTTGCTTATTCTTTGGTTTTCTTGGTTTCTTGTTCCTCATTAGTCTGTGACTTCTTTTTGAAGGGTTTGGTTTTGTTGGCATTTGGGGAATGCATTATTTGTTCTGGTTTCCAAGGCTTGTTTGTCTCAAGTCGTCTGCAGTGTCATAAACTCAAGGCAGCCTGCGGCTTACCCTCGTGCCCATGAAGTTCCAACCTGTCCTCGTACAAAGAACGTCACTTTTCGCTCATATGCATTACATAAGGCCTAAAATGCATTACATAAGGCCAAGTGGTTCGCGAAAGTGACGTACTGTCCCATTTTCTAGTTTTGGGTCCTCTGGTAGGTTAGTAGAGGACACTTTAAATTTACTATTTTTTTGATGTTGGGGAAACCTTAGGAGAACGGGCTGGATGTTCAAAGGTTTGTGGCTTTGGTTGCTGTATTCTCTAACATGTCTTGGGCCAATATCCTGGCTCAGAAGCTTTGGAGGTCTGACAGGGTATTGATGGCTTGTTCCCTGTTCTTGGTCCTCCATTGAGCTATTGTGCACACTCAGGTTTCCTGTCATGGTCTCGCCTCTTTTTGGATTTGATTTTTGCTCTCCTGCCTGGTTGAGTCCAGTTTTCCCTTTTCTATTGTTAGTTAACTCCAGGGAGCCAACGTTGGTCTGCTCCAGAAGACCAGTGTTGAATATAATGAAACGGCTCATTCTAGGGCGGGGTAGGAGGATTTCTGGATCCTTCTATCCCTACCTAGTGTATCATTTGATTTTTCTTTGACTCAGGAGTGAAGGTTGTTGACAGGGAGCAGCTTGCGTAAAGTTGCCACCTGATTGGTGGGTCAGCTGTTACTAGGGAGTGTATGACCCAACTACTGGCTGGATTGTTTGCCAAGTCATTTGCTGCACTGTTTATTTACTTTCTATGAACCTTGCGGTTGTCTGTTTTGCTTTGCTCCCTGTGCCTCGGAGAGGGAAGGCCATGTTTTGGCCTCTGGTTCCCAATTGTCCTTTAAAGTCTTGCAAGGGCTGATGTGATTTACAGGTGAGGAGCCAGAGCCCCCACCCCCAAGAGAGGGGCATTTTATTACATTCAGTGCTGGTTTTTGGAGTGCAAGAAATTAGGAATAAAGCAACTTTCAGTTCAAGAGTGTTTTGCTAAAGCTTTTGAAAAAGCTTGGATTGATCCACCTGCACGGGGTTCATCACAGGATTACCCGAGCTCTTGAACAGCTGAGGGTGCCCCATCACCCTCAATCTCCACTTCAAACAACCCAACACCATCAACATCCATAATCTGTACCGTCTGAATAAATGCATCGTCATCAATAGAATCGACTCCAGATATCAAAACTTCTCATACTGATGAATACAATATGAAAAAAAAATCCCTTTTTTTTTTAAAGAATGCAAACCATTTTGGGGGGGGAGGGTTCACAGCAGGGTTTTAGTCCAGACTCTGGATGCTTCTCAAAAGCAGGTGGTCATCTGTATGTAATATATGAAATATTTTAATACAAAATTTAGGTTCCTGTAACCTATTAAACTGGTCATTAACTTTTAGTTAGAATAGCATATTAAGATTTTTTTAATTATTTGTAAATGTAAAAATAACCAGATTGATTAAAAAATGTGTGATGAGAGTACGTATAAGGGGTAAACATGACCAAATTATTTGATTGACGTTCTGGCATGGTGTTGAGTACAGTACTGTATTATTAAGGCATTAATTACAAGTTTACCCCCCCCCCCAGGAAAATTGGACATACAGTATTACATGTCATGAATCTGGGGAATGACATATTGGATAATGCAGAGAGAGAGGGGGGAGCCAGTTACACTCTTGATATTGCTTTAGGTAAATGTTTATTTGTGGCAGTTGGGAATTAAATACATGATACTTGAGAGTACTAGAAGGTACTAGAGATATGGCTGTTTAAACATTTTCAGACGTTTACAGTGTGAATAATATTTTGTAAATATCAAGTTTCCGTAAATTTATTTGAATATAACATTAGGATACAATATATGAAAGAGGGATTTTGTTATACTGTATTCAGTAATGTATTTTGTAGAAGTTATGATTATGTAGTCATAAAAAAAACAAAAGTAGAAAATTATTTACTGATTTGGTGTTTGGACAAGAGGTAAGCATAATGTGAAAATGTGTTAGTGTTTCATAACACAGTGTTTAGAGAAAATACCAACCATATTGAATGTGTATGAATTAAATCAGTTTCAATGTGAGAACTGTACACAATAAAAAAAAATTAAATATAATTGAGGCTATAGTTCTTAAAGATCATCCTCAACTTAATTTAGAATGATTACAGTACATTACATTTTGCGAATGATGCGTATTACACAATTTTGGCATTACTTAGTTGTTAAATAACTTTACATTTATTGAAATATCATTTACAGTAGGTTTCTTGCATTATATGTCAAATATTGTATTTTGTTTTAAATTACTGGTATCTCCATATTTGTCCTTGTTTCTGACTGGCTCACCAGTATTTGTAATTGTTTCTGAGAGAACTAGTTTTGCTTGTTGCTTCTAAGACTAGTATAATGATCTTACGTCATTACTGTGGAAATTGTCTTTCATGAAGTGATATAGTAGCATGTAGCTGTTGTTGTGTAAGGGTTTAATATACTAATATATTTATAAGGTAGTCTATACAGTGTGGTTGTGAAGGAGGTAATTTATAAATGACATATTTAAGCCATAAGAAAGCAGTGCTTATGTTTCTGCATTAAGGATGGTAATGCCTTCGTCGTCTGCCGCTTTTTTTTTCCTCCAGTTTACAGAATTATAAACTCCATGGAGACGTAATGAATATATTCAAGAAGGGTGTGGTTTTGGAGCTGAAGGTGGTAATCTGTCAAATTATTGCTCTTCTGAGAAGTTGAGTCCCTCGTTATATTGCCATTCAAGCTAGAGCAACTAGCAAGTTCCTGTTCAAACATGGATTACAATTTGACAAGGATCTTTACACATCAGCGTGCAAGTCTGATGTAAAGGAATATATGTAACAATTTCTTAGATGAATCTTTGTCAAAGTTAATTGATAAATAAAGTTGTATTTTAACCATGAAGACACTGGCAATAAAACATTGTAGAATAGCTTCTAGCACCATTAAATGTTTTTGAAAGCACAAAAATTATTATTGAGCTCAAATGTACACAAGTAGCTTAATAACATTTAACCATATAATTTAGCTTAACGATGGTCAAATTCCTGTGTTTGGTCATTTTCTGAATAGGCAATAAATTTAGTAATAATTTGTCATCAAATTATTAGTGTGGACCATAGGAATTTTGAGATAACATGAGATCATTAAAGCAACACTGGTGTACACTCAGCACTGTGTCAGTGTGTATCTATCTGCATTTGAGATTCTTTGGAGGAGTTCAAAGGTGCAAAGGCTTATTAATCTCTTTAGATATCTGTTTTTTTATTACAGTATTAAGTTTGCTAGGATGTAAAACCCATAAAGTTGACTTCTGGAATACAGAAACTCTATCCTGTTTGCCTTGCTGCACTAACCATGGGTATGCATTATAGAATAATGATGCTTTTGGGATGCTTCTCAAAGTTAAGAAGCCATTTGGATGCCTCTTGAAATGTTAGTGTTTTGTATATCTTTTTGAATTATAGGATAATTATCGTTGCTATGGCCTTGTAATAAAGTATCTGTTGGTATGGCTGCTTGATTATAACTATTTAAATTGTAAATGGATGTGTGTATTTATACTAAAAAACTTTTAAAGGGAAGCTTTGGTAATTATCATCATGTAAAATTAATTGTTTTATATGAATTTTATATAGTAATGCTCGGTAAGATGTAAAACTTGGGATGTTTCTCGTTACTGTCATTAGTTACTTGAATGGCATATTACCATGGTGTAATCTACAATGGTTACATTATTCAGTTACATATAAGTAATTGGCCTCAAAGCATCTTCATGTTAATTTTTGAGCTTGCAGTGAAATCTCCAATTATGGAGCCAAGTGTGATATTTGGTAATGTATCTTAATGGCCCATTTATCATCTTATTGTTCAGTGTTAGTGATGATATTTTAATTCTTAAATATTTTAAGAAGTATTTGCATTTGTGGCAGTTTTGTTTATTAAATTGCAATTTAGCTGAAATTATAATAGTTCAGATACAGTAATATGAATGAGTAAT